CCTGAGTTCAACCCCCAGGATGACCAGGAAAAAAAAAAAAAAAATATATATATATGTATATACACACACATACACATATATACACACATATATTTTTTACAACTCAGTTTACCTACATACATTATTAACATGAAGTTTCACAAAACAATACCTACTTAATACTTGTAACATTCTCTGACATTTTTTTCTTTTCTTTCTTTTTTTTTTTTTTTTTTGACAGAGAAGCAGGCCTTGATTTCCTGATCCTCCTCCTCAGACTTCCAAGTGCTGGAATTACATGACATCTTCTATTCTACTTTTTCCCTTTCTTTTTTTCTGCAGTGCTAGATTAAACTCAGAGCCTTGTGAATGATTTCTACCACTGAGCAATAACCCCCGCTGTCACAAAATTAATTCCATAATCCAATAATGGGTTTGAAAATCACTGTTAAAGGTCAAGTATATGCACAGCCAAATCCAAGCTAAAGTTTATAATCACACAAACGTTGATGGAATTCAAATTATGTACTAAGCATATTGCTGCAAGGTTCAGGAGAATCAGAAACTTGAGGCCAGTCTGAGCTTATAGTGAAATCCTGCAGAGGCAGGACCTTTATTAGAAAGTGAGCTTGGATCAGTAGTGAGAGAAAGGAAGGAAGCAAAACTGGGCTGTGATGCAGAATTAAGTCTCAGCCATCCTTCAGAGCTATCTCCAGTTGGAGTGACAGGGAGGAATCTTTAGACTCCCACATAGATCAGTCACTGCATATGGGCTACTTGGGAAGAGAGTGTGATCTACAGTCCAGGGCCTCTGCCCACCTGTCAGCAGCACTCCTTCTCCAGCTAGAAAGGAGTCCTTCCTTCGCAAAATGAGCCTGGGCCCTTCATCCCAACGATAGCTTTTTCACAGTGATAGCTTGCAAGACTAGCAGAGTCAAGGGAGGAGTATTTTCAGCATAGATAAGACATAACTTTGGAAATAAGTACATAAATAGACGTATCCTAATTATCATTCTTTGTAGAAAAGTAATACATTTATGAGATATCCTCTATGTACCTGGCCTTTGCCAGAGCCAGGTATACAAAGATAAGATTATCTCCTCTACTGAGAGCTTACATTTTAGGGGGAGAAAAGAGCACACAACCAATAATCACTGCAAGGGGCTATGCTTATCTGGAGTGTGTGTGTGTGTGTGTGTGTGTGTGTGTGTGTAGTATCCAGCCTGTGCTGGGTACATTTAGCTTCTCGGCAAATATATAGAAAATAAGTTAAAATGCTTGAGCAGAGTATAAAAAGTGCTTAGCTAGCAAGATGTAGGAGTAATTAACTTGCTTGAAGGAGTCGGGGAATGATCAAAAAGGAGTATTTTAAGGGAACCTTGAAGAATAAGCAGGAGTTTTTCAGGTAATGAAGGAGAAGAGCAGGAACAGCTAATCTCAGGCAGTTGTAGAGAAAACAAAAGGATGAAAAGGAATAATTGGAGAGTGGGTGGATGGAAAGTATGGCAGAAGAGCCTCTTCTTTAAATAAAAGTCAGATGATAAAGATACATGTTAACAGTGACACCTATACATATTGACATCTATGTAGATGAGTTGCTATTGCTGTCATATGAAATGTTTAGTGAATTTCCAGTCATAGGATTTTATAAAAGATAGTCTTTGAGCTAGATTTGAATGGAAGGGAACTGTTTGAGGTATACAAGATGGAATTGGTACTGAGTCATATTTGCGTGCTAACTGCTGGATCTAATGGATTTATATATTTTTTTATTTTTAAAATTTTTTATTCATTTATTCACATGTGCATACATTATTTGGACCATTTCTCCCCTGAATTTTCAGATTCATTTTGATGATTTGTTAAACTGCTACTCAGTGTGTAGAGAATTTTTAAGAATCTGAATCATGAGGGACATAGTTTCTAGTTTTCATTCTTGTTTTTATTTTTATTTTTGTATTGCCTTTGATTTTACTATCAGAGTAATACTTGTCTCATAAAATAAATGATAAATGTTCCCTCTAATGGATTTATATTTAAAGACTGACTTTACTGGTTAACTAGCTATGTGTCCTTAGGCAAATTACTTAACCAACCCCCCAAGCCTCTGATCCCTTGTTTGTAAAATGAAGATAACAGTAGTTCCTGATGGAGTTTATTGTGAGTCTTAATGCATGTTTATGGAGTGTTTGTCCCTAATAAGAATTCAATTAATGTTGTCAGTTATTAGAAGTGAGAATTGGGGGCTATCAAGACAAGATGTGTATGTGGGAAACAATGGCATATGGTAGAGCCTCATTGCAAAATCTATTCCTGTTTTTAATATTTTTGTGGTGCTGAGGATTGAACTCAGGACTTCGCACATGCTAGGTAAGTGCTGTGCCACTGGGCTATATCCCCAGTCCCATTCTTACTTTTCAAATTCATAAGCTCAAATAAGTCTTTTCCCTGCAAGATGTTATTTCATGGATGATTTTACAGATACTTCTATTTTTCCTTGAGGGGAAAAATGTTTCCCCAGCTCCTATTGCAGAAGCAAAGGAATTTGTCTGATATAGAACAAGGATAGGAGACAAATGGTGTGGTAATGATATGACTTTGAGTGCTTCAGAAACCCTCCCGGCAAAGACACTTTCAACTGCGATCCTGGATGGAAGAGCCACACTTTGTTGTACTGACGTGCCAGGGGTGTTCTGTTAGTAACCAGAGCCACTTGCGGAAAGCCAACTTGAGAATTTGAGTTGATTACTGCTCTTTTCCTATTTCCGTCTTCCATATTGTCATTTCCCAGTGGCAAAGTTTCCCCGTTCTTTCAGCTCCCTTCCTCCCAGATTGAGAAATCTTGGCTTGCCCTGGACTTCTTTTTCTTGCAATCTCAGTGGTTTTTTTCTTCTTTCTTTTCCATCAAGCACCAAGTCCTAGATTTGCCTCACTTTGTTGTCCAGCTGTGGGTCACTGATTGACTAGGCTAATGCCTGCGGCTTCTTAAGAACCCAAAGGGTAGACTAAGTGGCATTTTCACTTATACTTTGAGACACCTCATAATTGCATTAGTACTGCACGTACTATGTGGAAAATACATGTGGATTGTCAGGCTTTGGGTTAATTGGTTTCACCTCATGTCTCAGAGGGGCAGAGTTCTAGTGTGCAAGCAGCCCTGGTACAAGTTCCTGAAACAGCTTCACTCCAAGGGGAACGGCCTCAAGAAGGGAAGCATTTCCTCTTACTCCACCCCTTTCATCCACCCGCACCCATGGCCCGCCTAGCTCCAGCTCCTGCCAAGTGGCACAGAAATAAAATCTTAGAATTAAAGTTTTAACTCAATTAATTTTTATTAATAACTAGGAGTGGCAAAAATACAATGATTCCCTTCTCATGGCAGGTCAAAGATGAAATTGGATTACACTTTGGAGGGTGTGATTACACTTTGGAGGGTGTGGTTTACCTCTTGAAATTCTCCCTCCGTCTTTACCAATGCTGTGTTGCCTAGAGCAGCCTGAAGTGTCCTTACTAACCAAGGGAGGTGCACTTGCCTGTGTATATAGAGGCAGTGCAGCCCTGAGCAAAGGCAAACTAGTTGTGCACCATGGGGAAGAAGCAGCTTAAGGAGGCAACTCCAAACTGTGAGCTAAGTAAGTAGCCAGCAGGTCTGCAACAGCTCTGCTGATCTGACCTTGGAGGGATGACAAGACAGCTCCAGCCCTTTCATCTTCTAGAGGCAGCTGAGCTTCCCAAAGGAAGGGTTCTGGTCTGGAAGGACTTCATCAAGCCTTTCTCAAACTCTACTGTACAGACATTCTCAGAACTAATGTGTGCATTTTCTGTTTTCTGTAGGAGAAAATCTGTATGGAAACCTGCCTATGCCAGGAAGCAGATGACATTTGCTCCTGCCCTCTCCCCCAGTTTATTTTTACTGTGTACTTCATTTGGATTTTTTTTTTTTTGTAATTCCCTCCCCTATCTTCATATCTTGGATTCTTACTAGTAAAATTTTGTCCTAGAGGTTTCCACGAGAAGAAAGAAGCTTGGTTCTGTCTGATGCTGTAATGGTGTGAGAGCCTAAGAATGTTTTTGGTAGCTGCAAATTGTAGAATATTAGTGTGACTTGTCAGGCCATTTACTCTCCCCTCTTCACCAGTCATCTCCGGAGAAAGACACTGGGAGGAGACTGAGGCTGGGGATGGAGGGGGATTGCTTTGGGGTTGGTAGGGATAAAGTGTGGGGAGAAGCTAGGCAGAGCTAGATGGCGGGTAGGAAAACAATTCACTGTGAGGCTTGGGAGTAGCACACCTGATGCAGTGGAACTGGCTGCACCGGCTGAGGTTCTGCGATTCCTCCCAGGCGTGGGTGCTCTTGGTGGGGCAGCAGATACTATGATACAGCTCTGGGAGCAAGAGTCATGGTCATGCTAGGTGGTTATGCTTTATTTATAGAGCGTAGCTGGATCTCTTGAAGTAACATCTCCAGAAGAAACAGGCTTATTGTCAGCGCCTAACTTGAGGCGGCGGAGAAGTACGGCAGGAACTTTTTCTCTCTTCAACCTACCGGGGAGCTGAGCATCGCGGGCCTGAGCTGCGTAAGCAGTGGCACCGCGAGACGCAGCTCCCGCTCGGGGTAGAGCTCCGCCTCCAGTCTGAGCGCCGAGTGGGCGGAGCCTCCGTACCCAGTCGGCACACCACGCAGGCCTACAGCTGCAGGGATCCAGCCAATAGGAATGTGGGGCTGCAGTCAGGTCGGCCAATCGTAGGTGGGCTGGGGGCTGGCCCCCTCGTCGCTGGCTCCGGGAATATGGAGCCGCCGGCGCGGGGACAGCGTGTCAGGTGGCGGCGAATCCCGTAAGGTGAGGGGCAAACGAGGTCAGGGGCCGTGGTGCTCTCTGCAGCGGGTGGACGCGGGGTGGCTAGGGCGGCTCCGAGCCAGTGAGGCGCGGTGCGGAGCTGCGAGGGGTGGGACGTCCCGCGAGGGCCTGAGGCGCCCGGTGCGGGATCCTGAGGGCCATGAAGTCGCGGTATGCCGGGAAGACCGGGAGGAGGGCCCCGGGGCCGTGCAGCGACTTCCGGAGGTCACGGGGCCCGACGCCTTTCCCGCCACGGCCTAGGACAAGTGGCGCAGCCCCCTCTGGACCTGCCCGCGCGGGGACCCTTGTCCCGGGCGCGCTGAGCCGCAGCGGCGCGGCGGGAGAGGACGCGGGCTCCGGCACGGTCTCCGTCGCCTGTTGTCGGGGAGCCCTGGGCCCCGCGCGCTCCCTCGGCCTCTGCCGCCCCGCTGCAGGCGACACTCCGTGGGGTCCGTGTGACACCCGTGCAGCAGCGTCTTCTGCGTGGAGGGCCTGGCTGGCCGCTCGGCGTCGTGTGCCGGTGACTGTAGGGCCGCTGTGCAGGTCCTGGTCCCTCTGCCCACCGGCTCCTTGCGGAGAGGGTCGTTCTTGTAGGACGAGGCGCGCACTGTCGGTTTCATGGGATCCGGCTTTTAAAGCTCCCTTACCTTTTGATGTTCCGAGTCTGTACTCCTCAGGCCCTTGCCTTCCCCGGATTCCCTACCTCACATATCACACTGTTTCTAAGTCTCATCCTTAGGGTAGAAATTGAGGGAACCACGTTTGAGTTTTCTCTCTGCAAAAATGGAACTATTCTCATATTGTCCATTGTTTTCTAAGGTTTATTGTTAAATCATTTGATATCTATTTGAATAGGAAGCAAAAGCAAACATATGGCATAGGTAGATGGGCGTCTAGGAACTTTTGCTGTCCATAAGTTTAGTGACTGTTGGTGAAAGCACGTGAAGTTATGTTTACCTTGATTTTTGTGTCATCTCAGCCTGACATCACTTCTTGACTGTGTTAACTGTTATGCAAGTTGGTTAGGTTCTTTGTTCTTTTGTCTTACATACTCAAAATGGGGATCGATGAAAACAATCTTACAAGGTTGTTGGTGAGTATTAAATTAGTTAATACACAAAAAATGCTTAGAGCAGTTCCCTGCAAGAAGTTCTTGGTTTTTGTTTTTGTTTTGTTTTACCTGCTCTGGGGCTTGAACTCAGGGCCTCACACTTGCTTGGCAGGTGTTCTATCACTTGAGCCACTCCACCAGCCTAGTTTTTGTTATTATTGCCTACTTTCTCCCTAAAGAGTCTAAAGAATTTTGACCTTTTTATTCAACCCTTTGCTCAGAATCCCTTGGCCTGTTGCCCTTGAGCCCTCAGAACCAGTACTTTCCATGCATGATTAACTTTGATCTCCGGGTACAGTGTAATTACATGTGAAGAGAGACTTTCTGCTGGGTGTTTTATTAAAAAGGCTAGAAACTATTGATATTCTAGATCGTTTCCAGTGGTAGCTGTGTTGATGAATGAAGCCTGAGATCCTCATTGGCTGTTTGCTTCCAGTAACATTTCATTCACAGTCTTGCTTGGTTTAGACAGTTTATTTTGGACACAGTACCAAAAAGGCCATGATTGCAGCATACTGGGTTTCTCATGTTTCCGGAATGTCTGTGGGACTCAGAAAGGGAATTTCTGAGGAGCACTTCTTGTTAAGAAATAGGAAGCTTGATATGAATCTAACCTTATTCTTCTGTTCAGAAAGCAGCAGTGGTCTGTTGGATTAATTTACAGAGATAGTAAGCAGCTTTGGTTCAGTTTTGACTCAGTGAAGAGAAGGTTAGGGAATGGTATCATTACATAGGGTCTTTTCTGATTAACATTCATCACTAAGAGCTTGGATGAGTGCTGTTTAATCAGACATCTTTATTTCCTGCCTCTTTATCAAGCACATATAAATGACTGGACAGACCTATGCCCTCTGTATGAGCTTAAAGATCTCTCAATTTCTCTGGTGCTATCTGGAAGACTCTAGTGGAAGACTGTTTCTAACTCTCCCCTTCCAAAAAAAAAAAAAACCAGCTGTGTATTATACATGTAGCACTATTAGAAACTTAAACTTAAACTATTAGAAACTTAAACTTTGAGTTTATGAAAAAGAGCAGCATGCTGGCCAGTACAGAAGGTATGAGTTTAGTTTTTTAGTTTTGCACTATGACAGTTTACTACTTCTCTAGGTTTAAAATGTGTTTAAAACTCATGGAAAAGGCATGAGTTAATTATTAAAATTTTATCAGGTTACAAAGTGCAAAAGGAGTCATATATATGACTCCTGGAAAATCTTGTACTATGTGTCGTCTAACTCTTTCCATACACTTTTTTTTCTTTGTTTTAAGAGAAGAATGTTCAGGAAAATGTGTACTTAAAATTGTTAGAGTCAATCTACTTTTGAGCCAATATCTGTTATTAGAATAAATTGGAATAATTAGAATTATTAGAATAATTAGAATGTAGCATAATGATTAGCATTCTTCATATTTGCCAGAGAAAATATATTTAAGCAAGTATGAGGGTAAAACATTTTTCCCCTTCCCTCCGAGGCAAGAAGTAGGCAGATTGAACAGGGGATTTTCTTCTTTCAGTAGAGACTGTCTTTGAAGTTGTTCACAGAGCTTGGGGTAGCAGTGTCAGCAGGCCAGGTTGGTTCCCTAAATGGAAACACACTGCTGTAAAGTTCTGGTTAGGAGGAAGTTTGCAGGAAGCAGACACTGTGGGAGGAACAAAGACCAAGGTAGAGGCAGTGGGAGTGTGACTTCTGTGGTCCTGATACTGAGCAGTCAGGGAGGTTTGCAAGCTGGCTGGGCCTCAGGAGCACTGAGCAGAGGAAATGAACAGTTGTCTTTAGTGGGTGCCAGGCCCTTCAATTCTGAAGGTCTCTGGTTGATGAATGATATTTTTGTCTAAAAGATTAGTACACTTGACAGTCTGGGCACATTATGCTCTATTCTTATCATCTTTGACACCCAGGCAGCCGGTTTGATTATCAAGTGTACTCTTCCTCCTCACATCTTACTCTCTTCTCTTCTTTTTAAAAAAATATTTTTTTGAAACAGGGTCTTGTGTGCACGCTGGCCTTAAACTTGGGACCCTCCTGCCTTGGCTGCTGAGGGCTGGGGTAACAAGCATATGCTACCATGCACAACTTTTTCTCTTCTTGCCTGATAACATTTTCTCTTTTTCTTTCTTTATCTTTAGATGGTCTCAAGGTCAGGTTTTTCTTTCAACCTCAAAACAGACTGAAAAGTTGAACTCAGGTGAGAAATAGTAAAGTTGGTGTTGAGTTGAAATTGTAATTCTCTGGTAGGACAAGAAAGACGTCTCCAGTATGGAGATTATTACCGTGGCATGCAAAGTTAATAAACAGTCTAAACTAGTCTCTAAATGGTTGTTGTGACAGAGACACAAGACAGAGCCCTTATTCACATTAAGCACATTGTATAATAGCAGCACTGTTTGTTTTTAATGAATTGGGTGTGTTGAGTGGGTTTTGATTAAAGACCTCCCTACTTAGGCAGAATGGATTATAGTTTCCAGTACTTCTGAAACTAATATTTATCAGAGAGAGTCAAAGAGAGGCTTTTCTCTTAGTTTCTTTTGTCATGGAATAGATTTAAATTGGCCTTCAACCTGATTTTTTTTTTTTTAGTCTTCCCCCCCCACCCGTGGTGCTGGGGTTTGAACTCAGGACCTCACACCCACTAGGCAGGTGTTCCACCACTTGAGCTACTCTGCCAGCCTTGTTCTGTGTTAGGTGTTTTTGAGAGAGGGTCTCGAGAAACACTTGCCTGAGCTGACTTCGAGCCATGATCCTCCTGATTTCTGCCTTCCAGATAGCTAGCATTACAGGTGTGAGCCACTGGTGCCTGGCTAGTCTTCTCATTTTATATCAGAGTCTTTTCTCTGTGTGTGTGGTGCTGGTGCTCATTGCCAGGGCCTTTTTACATGGTAGGCAAACAAGCACTTTAACACTGAACTATATACCAGCCCTGAATTCATCTTAATAAGGAAGTAGGATAAATTTAACCTAATTAAAAAAAATTAAAAGCTTTATATCCTCAAGAATAACTTGGAAATTTACCTTCATTTTTCAAACTGTTTTTCCCTCATTCCAATGGGTGCAGACTGATACTTAAAAATTATCCAGTGGATATCCTTGATGGAAAGACTCAGAAAATGATGTTTCTTCATTAATCTAGATGAAAAATAGAGGTAGTAATAATCCATCATTAAACAAAGAGAGACTGGGAAGTGGTAGAGCATGTGCCTAGCTTGCTCAAGACCCTGGGTTCAATCCCTAGCATTGCAAATAAATAAACAACACACACACAAAAACAGAGAGAGAGAGACTAGTAATCTCTTACATATACTGTATAGAGTTCATAAAACAATTAACTCTGAATCACTTGCATATTCATAAAAAGTTTAGTTGATTCCCTATCATTCAAACAGAAGGAGCTCACTTTTGTGAAAAACATGCAGCATAGGTGTTGGTTAATAGTGATAGTTTAGTAAGATTATGAAGGACTTTAGCCTGAAAGTAGACCTTTAGTGAAAAGAGAATTTGGGAAGGACTTGGAACTTTATACTCTCTTCAGGACAATAGAATTTAAAAAAGAAACTACAGTTCCTTGTTATTCTCTAAGAAACACTTGAGTATCACTTTTTAAATCCTTGATCTTTGCATTTGGTAGTTTGTACTTTGTCACCAGGGAGTCTCTGGCGCTCAGTAGGGTCTGAGGAAGGCATCAAGAAGAGGAGGTAACTTTGCCATTTAACTTTAAATATTCCTGTTCATACTTATATAATCAATTACTTCATTACAAACACTTTTTTGTTCTTGTTGTTGTTGTCTATATGTAGTAATGCTGTCTTTGATTTTATTGTAATGAGGGAAGTGAGGAAAATGGGGGGGTTAGAGAAACTTATTCAAGCACATTCTTTAAAACTTCAATTAGTTTTAGAGACTGTTTTAGCTCTAAAATCAGTGAAATGGCTATAAGTGCCTCTGTAGAGAAATTTTATAAGAACACACATCATTTCAAACTCAAATTATCCTTTTTTTGGTGGTACTGAGTTTAAACTCAGGGCTTCACACTTGCTAGGGAGGTGCTGTACCACTTGACCCACACCTTTAGTCTCAAAATCAAACTACTTTGTGTGTGTGTGTGTGTGTGTGTGTGTGGTACTGGGACTTGAACTGCCTTACTCTTGCTAGGTAGGCATTCTACCACTTGAGCCACTCCACCAGCCCCTCAAACTTTTTAACCAAACTACTTTTTAACCATAGGGAAAAAAGTTTAAGTCATACATGTTTTAATATTCAGCATTTAAAACTTTATTGGGGTGAGGGGTAGTTTTTAAAACAGGTTTGGGCCATCCAAATTGTTCTTCCAGAGTTCTTGTAGATACTAAGAACACACAGAATTGTTTCTAGTTAGATAATAAAATGTATTATACCTAGTATGTGTTTTTAAACTAACTTAATTTTCCTAGAATTTCAAACCTGCAGAAAAGTTGTAAGAGTAGTATCAGGGAATAGATGTTTTCAAGACAGTACGGGAAGAGTAAGATAATGATTAGCAGTGGGTACACTGGGGAACTTGGAGGAGGGACAATTAACACAGATTGGGGAGCCAGTAAATGCTTCTCTGAGAAGGGGGTTTCTATTCTTTGCATTCATGTGAAACTCCCAAATAATATTTGAGTAGCTCCTTAGGCATTGAGACAAACCAGTGGTAAGTTAAGCTTAAGGCAGTAGATGCCTGCCAGCCAGACAGCTGTAGCTCTCTGATTATCCTTTGCAGAAGCTTTATCTTAGAGTTCAACTGAACAGCCCCATTGTCCATATCTCTGAGATGCTGAGTGAATTTGTATGAACTTAAAAATTTCCAAAAGTAAATAGGGGCTAGGGATGTAGCTCAGTGTTATACCTGCGTTTGATCTCTCTTCAGTACCTCATAACATAAATAAATAAAATAAAACAGGTAACTGGTAAAGCTTTTGTTCTTAAAATGCAAAATAGGCAAACAATAAACGTTCAGTAAAAGAGCTTTCTTTCACTTGACCTTGTATTTAGTCCCCCAGTGCATTAGGAACATTTTTTAGTATATCTTTTGGAGATAGTCTGCAAGTGTACATGTGTGTTTGTGTGTTTTCTTGTCCCCGTCCCTTTTTTGTGGTGGTACTGAGGTTTGAACTCTGAGCTCAGGGCCTCACACTTGCTAGGCAGGCACCCTACCACTTGAGATATACCCCTAGCTTTATTTTTCATGTAGGGTCTCGAGTTTTTGCTCAGGGTGAGACTCAGACCGTGATCCTCCCACCTGTGGCCTCTGATGTAGTGGGACCACAGACAAGCCACCATATCCAATTTGTTTGCTGAGATGGACTCTTGCTAACTTTTTGCCCTGGCTGTCCTCAAACTGTGATCCTTCTGATCTCTGCTTCCCATGGAGCTGGGATTATAGAGATAACTCATTATACCCAGCCTTAAGTATAACTTTTGAAAGTATGTTTTAGATAGAAATCTTCCTCAAATATAATATGCACTTCTGTGCATTCTGTTTTTTCTGTGTTGGAAATCATACACAGGGACTTGCACATGGAAGGCAAGCACTCTCTATCACTGACCTACATTCCTAGTCTATGGTATTTTGAAACAGGGTCTTGTATAGTCCAGACTGGCTTTGAACTCATGATCCTTCTGCTTCAGCCTCCTAAGTTCCAGGATTACAGGTGTATGCTACAACACCCAGCTTCTCTGCATTCTTAAACAGGATATCAGCCATCCTTACAGAAGCAATCTGGTTTATCCAGTTCTAAGTGTTATTGTACTTGTAAGAATGTTATAAAAGAAGACCAAAACCAGAACAAACAAAAAAGAATGCTCTGAGAATGAATGAAAATATAAAGAAGGGTTCATTGTCTCCTATCAAATGACCCAAAGCTGATTGATGTGCTTCTTAAGACTTTCTGGTTCCTCAGTGTGCTAAGTTCCCCTCTTCCTATAAAAGCTATAATCCTGATTTGTGGTTTCTGTTTTATTGAGGGTTAGATAACCTGATAGCCAGGCTTGTTAGATTTACATATAAGACAGAAACAAAAGGCTCTGGTACTGTCGTGGGGCTGTGCTGTGATTGCATTCTGAGCGGCAGATATATGAATCCCATTTAGGTGAGGGCCATTGTAACTGGCTGGAAGAGGGGTTGAAGTTGGCCAGTGTACATATATTGGGGTCTGTTGACAGGTGTTTAGTCACCTGGTGGCTTAAAACCTGACAGGAGAGACATGGCTAGTTGTCTGTTATAATACAGTGCTTGGCATTTGATGTTTATTGAGAGATAAGATGATGTTTTCCAAGTTAGCAGGTGGTGGTATGTTTTATATTCAAGAAGACAGATGAAATATAAAAAACCCTTGCAGGTCTGAATGCTGAAATTTTATAAGATAGGTATAGAATATGTTGGTTAATACAAAGGTTATTCTAAAAAGATATCAGAGCACTGTTCAAATAGGAGCAACATATGATACAAGAGTGCAAAAAGATTACTTCAGCAATGAAAGATAGCTAACCAGAAGAGGTTCCATATCTCTTAGGAAAGTTACAGTTGCATTTAAGGGAGGAGATAATCAGTAAATATTGCTTTGTCCTTCCCTTCTAAATTTGGAATCAACTGAGAATATATTCTACAATAAGTAGATTGAAAAATATAAATTCATCCTTTTTGGTGAGGCTAAGTAGAGAATGTGCTATGGAAATGTGGCCAGATAGGCTTGCTCCCCCACTCCCAATTTAACTTACCCCAACAGGATGCTGGGGCGCTGCCATACCCACCCCTGCAAGGCCCAGAGAAGTGCCAGCATCATATGGATTGGGTCTAGTCCTGCTGGTGCCTCAGCTCTCTTTCAGATCTTAAGGCCATGGGCGATTTGCTGCTTCTCCCAGGTGACAGAGGGTTGGAGAATGAGATTGGAATGTATAGTTGAAATCACTTCCCCGGGGAAATTTGAGGCTATGAAATACTGGCCTTCTGCTACCAGTGTTGGTTTAGTGATTTTTTTTCTATCCTTCCAAGAAGGTTGAGCCATGAGCTTAATTTGTTAGGGAGAACAGAGAGTTATACATCTTTGTCCTTACATAAGTTGTAAAGTTGGGGAAGATTAGTCTGGTTTTCAGACATTTGGGGTGATCTGGAAGCAAAGGCTGAGTCTGGGTAATTTTTTAGAAGCCTGTCTGTGGATGCTTATTAAAAAGGGGTTGCCTGGAGACTTAGCTTAGTGGTAGAGTAGTAGCATCCATGAGACCCTGAAGTCATCCCCAGCAACACACACACACACACACACACACACACACACACACACAATTTGCTTCTATCAGTAAAATACCTTTTCTTTCAATTTGGTTTGATGTCTCATATCAAAATCTTTTTTTCTTTTTGCAGTACTAGGGATTGAACCCAGGGCCTCCTACATGCTAGGCAAGCAGCACTTGAGCCTCATGCCCAGGCCCTTTGTTTGTATTTTTGTTTTTGAGATAGGGTCTTGAATATGGTCTTGCTAACTGCCTCCTGTCTCTGCCTCCCAAGTAGCTGAGATTTACAGGCATGACCACACCTGGCTTGCTTTTTTTGGCTATATATATCAAGGCTTCTTGCCTGCTAGACTGGCGCTCTACCACTGAGCCATGCCCCACAGCCCTTTTTGCCAAGGCTGGCCTGGACTGCAATCCTCAATTTAGGCTTCCCTGCTGTAATTGAGATGACCATTGCCTGCTACCCAGCTTTTTCTGTGGAGATGGGGGTCTCCCGAACTTTTTTGCCCAGGCTGGCTTTGAACTATGATCTTCCTCCTATCTCAGCTTCCCAAATGGCTAGGATTGATTATAAGTGTGAGCCTCTGAGAGAAGGGGTGGAGGGGGTAAGGGAGGGAGTAGGAGAGGGGGGAAGAAATGACCCAAACATTGTATGCACATATGAATAAAAAAACAAACAACAACAAAAAAAAAAACCAAGTGTGAGCCACTGGTGTTTGGCCTCTTCTTGTTTTTTCCTCAAGACAGGGTCTCACTATCTAGTTAGCCTAACCAAACTCATGATCCTTTCTCCTTTGCCTCAGGAGGTCTGGGAATATAGACTTGCAAAACCATGCCTGGCTGAGACTTTTCTATTTTTGTTCAGTATCTCTTAATCATGTTCTGAAAGCTGTAATTATTTTCAAGGTTATCTAATTCAGTAGAAGAATAATTCTTTTCACATCATAAGGGTTCAGTCATACAGAGTAACAAAATACTGGCTCTGTACTTGTTTGTTCTTGCTAACTCTTTCCCTCCTTTTTTTTTCCTTTCTAGAATCCTTTTCTAGGAACACAGGCACTCAGGTATCTACTATGGTGTTGGGTCCTGAACAGAAGATGCCAGATGGTAATTTACAGATTTGTGTTATTGTCTACTTTTTATTTGGAATTAAGCTTGTGTCAGTAGCAGAAGTGTACCATATTTTTCTTCTTGTGTGTTCTAGCAACTCCATTGAGAGGTCATTTCTGGTGACATAAACTATAATCACAGAGACCTACCTCATATCTTATTTTCAATTATAGTTGAGCCACAGTTAGCTTCAGATTTATTTTCTATAGCAGTAGTGCTTGCAGTTACAGAACTGTACCCAGACTTGGCATAATGACCTGCAGCATGCTTTGGCCGCTCATGATATTTCTGTTGTTTTGGATATGCATGGAGCAGTAAAATACATGGCAAGTCCCATATACTCTGTATTTTATTGAAGCCTCTAGAGCGCTTTGACTAATCCTAATTCAGAGTTTGCCTTGGGAATTTCCATTCCTTTTCTATAAATTTCCTCATCATTTCAAGGCCACTAAGTTAGGGTGATACAAACCAGCTGCCTTTAGAAACAAAACTCTTATTTTTGCACAGAGAATAGAGTTTTGTGGTTCACCCTAGTCATTTGATGCCTGCAGCAAGGTAGACTTTGTATATTTCTAATGGGTATGGCTTTCCCTCCAAGACTGTCTCCTCCTTGCATTTAAGATTAACTGTAAGATCTTTAAAGAAGAACTGATACCAACCCTCCTTAAACTGTTCCACGAAATAGAAACGGAAGGAAAACTGCCAAACACATTTTATGAAGCCAGTATTGCACTTACCCCAAAACCAGGCAAAGACACCTCCAAAAAGGAGAACTATAGGCCAATCTCCTTAATGAACATTGATGCAAAAATCCTCAACAAAATAATGGCAAACCGAATTCAACAACACATCAAAAAGATTATTCACCACGACCAAGTAGGCTTCATCCCAGGGATGCAGGGCTGGTTCAACATACGAAAATCAATAAACGTAATAAACCACATTAACAGAAACAAAGACAAAAACCACTTGATCATCTCAATAGATGCAGAAAAAGCCTTCGATAAGATCCAACATCATTTCATGATAAAAGCTCTAAGAAAACTAGGAATAGAAGGAAAGTTCCTCAACATTATAAAAGCTATATATGACAAACCTACAGCCAGCATTATACTTAACGGAGAAAAACTGAAACCATTCCCTCTAAAATCAGGAACCAGACAAGGATGCCCACTATCTCCACTCCTATTCAACATAGTACTGGAATTCCTAGCCAGAGCAATTAGGCAAGAAGAAGGAATAAAAGGAATACAAATAGGTAAAGAAACTGTCAAAATATCCCTATTTGCAGACGACATGATCCTATACCTTAAAGACCCAAAAAACTCTACTCAGAAGCTTCTAGACATCATCAATAGCTATAGCAAGGTAGCAGGATATAAAAACATAGAAAAATCATTAGCATTTCTATACACTAACAATGAGCAAACGGAAAAAGAATATATGAAAACAATTCCATTTACAATAGCATCAAAAAAAATCAAATACCTAGGTGTAAACCTAACAAGATGTGAAAGACCTCTACAAGGAAAACTATACACTTCTGAAGAAAGAGATTGAGGAAGACTATAGAAAGTGGAGAGATCTCCCATGCTCATGGATTGGTAGAATCAACATAGTAAAAATGTCTATACTCCCAAAAGTAATCTACATGTTTAATGCAATTCCCATCAAAATTCCAATGGCATTCATTAAAGAGATTGAAAAATCTGTTAAATTTATATGGAAACACAAGAGGCCACGAATAGCCAAGGCAATACTCAGTCAAAAGAACAATGCAGGAGGTATCACAATACCTGACTTCAAACTATATTACAAAGCAATAACAATAAAAACAGCATGGTACTGGCACAAAAACAGACATGAAGACCAGTGGAACAGAATAGAGGACCCAGATATGAAGCCACACAACTATAAGCAACTTATCTTTGACAAAGGAGCTAAAAATATACGATGGAGAAATAGCAGCCTCTTCAACAAAAACTGCTGGGAAAACTGGTTAGCAGTCTGCAAAAAACTGAAACTAGATCCATGTATATCACCCTATACCAAGATTGACTCAAAATGGATCAAGGATCTTAATATCAGACCACAAACTCTAAAGTTGATACAGGAAAGAGTAGGAAATACTGTGGAGTTAGTAGGTATAGGTAAGAACTTTCTCAACGAAACCCCAGCAGCACAGCAACTAAGAGATAGCTTAGATAAATGACACTTCATAAAGCTAAAAAGCTTCTGTTCATCAAAAGAAATGGTCTCTAAACTGAAGAGAACACCCACAGAGTGGGAGAAAATATTTTCCAACTATACAGCAAAGGACTGATAACCAGAATATATAGGGAACTTAAAAAACTACATTCTCCCAAAACTAATGAACCAATAAAGAAATGGGCAAGTGAACTAAACAGAACTTTCTCAAAAGAAGAAATTCAAATGGCCAAAAAACACATGAAAAAATGCTCACCATCTCTAGCAATAAAGGAAATGCAAATTAAAACCACACTAAGATTCCACCTCACCCCTGTTAGAATAGCCATCATCAGCAACACCACCAACAACAGGTGTTGGCAGGATGCGGGGAAAAAGGAACCCTCTTACACTGTTGGTGGGAATGTAAACTAGTACAATCACTCTGGAAAAAAATTTGGAGGCTACTTAAAAAGCTAGACATGATCTACCATTTGATCCAGCAATACCACTCTTGGGGATATACCCAAAAGACTGTGACACAGGTTACTCCAGAGGCACCTGCACCCATGTTTATTGCGGCACTATTCACAATAGCCAAGTTATGGAAACAGCCAAGATGCCCCACACTGACGAATGGATTAAGAAAATGTGGTATCTATACACAATGGAATTTATGCAGCCATGAAGAAGAACGAAATGTTATCATTCGCTGGTAAATGGATGGAATTGGAGAACATCATTCTGAGTGAGGTTAGCCTGGCCCAAAAGACCAAAAATCGTATGTTCTCCCTCATATGTGGACATTAGATCAAGGGCAAACACAACAATGGGATTGGACTGTGAGCACATGATAAAAGCGAGAGCACACAAGGAGGGGTGAGGATAGGTAAGACACCTAAAAAACTAGCTAGCATTTGTTGCCCTTAACGCAGAGAAACTAAAGCAGATACCTTAAAGCAACTGAGGCCAATAGGAAAAGGGGACCAGGAACTAGAGAAAAGGTTAGATCAAAAAGAATTAACCTAGAAGGTAACACACAAGCACAGGAAATCAATGTGAGTCAATGCCCTGTATAGCTATCCTTATCTCAACCAGCAAAAACCCTTGTTCCTTCCTATTATTGCTTATACTCTCTCTACAACAAAATTAGAAATAAGGGCAAAATAGTTTCTGCTGGGTATTGAGGGGGTGGGGGGGAGAGGGAGGAGGCGGAGTGGGTGGTAAGGGAGGGGGTGGGGGCAGGGGGGAGAAATGAACCAAGCCTTGTATGCACATATGAATAATAAAAGAAAAATGAAAAAAAAAAGATTAACTGTAAAATCAAGGTCTGTGGCAAACACTGACATTAGATGAGTCCTGCTGTCATGAGGGTGCTGGCATCCATGATCAGAGGCCTTCACTGTGGGCCTTAGTACAGTGTTCCTGCTTGATGGGGTTCCCTGCAGCGTCACATTTTAACCTAAACTGTGGCAGGATTTCCCAATTTCTTCCTTTTTTGAGAAGCCTGATGAAGGTATAATGTCCAAGGATAATTCTTTGAATAAGTCCTACCAAACAATAATGTAGGGAGGATATTGCAGTAGTATGATGTATTTCTTTTCTTTTAAAAAATTTGGATTTTAGGTTACTTAGTGGACCAGTTCCACTAAGTAACCTAAAATATGATGTATTTTGAGCCTTAGATAGTTATCAGTTTGTTTTTTGTTTTTTTTCTTTTTTGGTGGTACTGCGGCTTAAACTCAGGGCGCTTGCTAGGCAGGTGCTCTTACTGCATGAGCCACTCCACCAGCCCTTTTCTGGATTTTTTTTTTTTTTTTTGAGATAGGGTCTCATGAACCGAGATCCTCCTGATCTCTGCCTCCTTAGTAGCTAGGATTATAGGTGTGAGCCACCAAAGCCTAGCTGAATGTCATTGTTTTGAGAGGAAAATAAAATTATTCAAAAATTACTCAGTGGGAATAGAAATGTAGAATAGGAAAACCATTGTGTAGTTAATGTTAAAACTGACTCAGGGCTGAGTGATTGGGGGATATTGGGGAGAGGAGAAAGGAAGCTCCTACCTGGCAAATTCTTTTGTACATCAATTTTGGGTTTTTGAGACAGGATCTTGCTCTGTAGCTCAGATTGGCCTTAAGCCAAGCACCTCCTGCCTCAGCAACCCCCCTCCAGTGCTGGGACTATAGATATATGCCACCATGCTGGGCTTGTACTTTAATTTTTAACCATGTGCATATATTACCTAGTCAAAAAATTTATTTTAGCTGATCATGGTGGCTCATGCCTGTACAGAGTCCCAGCTACTCAGGAGGGCAGACCGAGATCAGGAAGATCTTAGTTTGAGGCCAGCATGGGCAAAAAGTTAGCAAGACTGCATCTCAACAAATAAACTGGCATCGTGGTGACTGCCTATATTCCCAGCTACACGAAAGGCATAGGTAGGAGGGTCAAGGTCTGTGACCAGCTCTTGGCAAAAGCATAAGACCCTAACTGAAAAATAATTAAAGCAAAAAGGATTGGTTGTATGGCTCAAGTAGTAGAATGCCTGCCTAGCAAAGTATGAGGGCCTGAGTTCAAACCCTGGTACTGCCAAAAAAAACCCTTTTTTAAAATATAGATAAAAATAAACTATTAAAAAACATGTTGAGTTAGAGTCAGGCTAGTCTTTTGTGCATTTAAGTATAAGATGATTGAGTTTTAGGTGCTAAGGATGGAGCACAATGATAGAGCACTTGGCTAGCATGTGCAAAGCCCTGGGTCCCATCTCCAGCACTGAAAAAAAGGAAAAAAAAATTAATTTCAATATTATTCTGGGTGAGTTGTTGGCATATTTTGTTCACTTTGATTCATTTTTTCTCAAATATGTTAATTCAGATGATGCCTCTGGAGACCATGGGGACTCTGCCAGTATTGGTGCCATCAACCCGGCCTATAGTAGCTCCTCACTCTCACAGTCCCTTGAGAACTCTGAGGAGCCCTTTGCCACCTACTTTGATGAGAAGATCGCCATTCCTGAGGAGGAGGTAAGTGACAGGTCCTCAGAGAGGACCCTGTGGCTTGAGAAGAGCCTATGAGGAAAGATCTACTAGATAGCTTGCTCAACAGCTTCAGGTCTAATTTCTACAGCTAGTTTCTAAGGGCTGGAGTTTTATAATCAGAAATGATAAACTACAAAGGAAAATGACAGACTGATTGAACACAGTTGCTAGGTGGTAGTAGTGAGCATTTTTGATCAAGAAAGTATGAATTTCTTTTCTTTATTCAAACTTGGCTTTTGTCCTGTTTGGGTAATGGTTGTCCACAGAGGTACTGAGGGTGTTCCTCTGGTTTTAGGATGAAGTAATGATGGGAAGAGCAGGTAGGGAGGGCTCTCACATAGAGAAGTAGCCAGCTTGTTATAAAAAGTGGGCAAGATGGAGGTGAAACATGGACACATGTAATATCCAACCCTGATTCCTTGCTTTTGTGAAGCTGATACTGTTCCTTCACATGTGATAAAATAACAGAAATTAGGTCAGTACTTTGGAGGTGACACTGTTTGATCTTTGTTTCTCTCTTTGTAGTACTCTTGTTTTAGCTTTCGTAAACTCTGGGCATTCACGGGCCCAGGCTTTCTTATGAGCATTGCCTATCTGGATCCAGGAAACATTGAATCTGATTTGCAGTCTGGAGCAGTGGCTGGATTTAAGGTGAACATCTAGTTTTTCCCTTGTCTTTTTAAACACACACAATCCATCTTCACATCCTTTTCTCCAGCCTGCCTCTTGGGTAGCAGCCTCAGGGGTACAGGCAGATAGCAGTTGACCTTTGAACAACATGGGTTTGAATTGCATGGATCAATTATAGTAGGTTCTTTTGTAGAAATTTTTAACAACTTGAATAAATTTGGAAAATGGACTGCATAGCCTAGAAATACCAAAAAAATTAACATAAAATTAGGTATGAACTATTAGTAGATAATAACTATTTTATTATTTCTTCTCTAAATATACACAGATCTTACAAAAAGTTAAAATTTATCTGATCATACATGCATACATACTCCATACATGCAGCTGGTCATAGGTTGGAAAAATGTATGCAAACATGAAGATGTGGTATTAAATCATAGCTGTATTAAATTAACTGTAGTTCCTGCTGTACTTCTGGAATAATTTTGTAGCTACCTCCTGTTTCTTTTGTGGTAAGTGTTGTGATATCCACTTAAAATGCCAAATACTTATATGTAAGCAGTTCATTTATCTCTTCAGTAAAATGTATACTGAAGTAAAGAAAAGAAAAATGGTTTCTCGCAGTTCCCACATATTTTTCACCATATAAAATATTTATGCAAAGCATATATTAAGTGTTTATCAGTAAGGCTTCTGATAAACACCAGGCTACTAGTAGTTAAGTTTTGGAGGAGTCAAAGTTATATGCAGATTTTTGACTGTACAGAGGAGTGATGGTCCTAGCCCTGCTATACTTTTCCAGGATGCACTGCACTTCATTGGCAGTGATACTTAGGTGAAAAGTATTTGCCACTTGATCTTTTATTTTTTTTATTCACATAGTTCCCAGGAAAAAAGGTGAAACTGCAGATGGGAGAGACAGACTCAGAAAGGTCCAAGGTACCTAGTAGGTCCTGTGTACAATCTGATACAGAGCTCAGGCCATCTGATTCCTAACATGGGCTTTTTCCTAAATGTACTGTTGCCCATTTACATTGCCAAACAACAAAATGACTAAACAAACAAACCCAGTTGTCTGATGAGTATTCTGGGTCTTTTGTTCTTAGTTGCTCTGGGTCCTTCTGTTGGCCACCATTGTGGGACTGCTGCTCCAGCGTCTTGCAGCTAGACTAGGAGTGGTCACTGGGCTGCATCTTGCTGAAGTATGTCACCGTCAGTACCCCAAGGTGAGCAGTGTGCTATCATATTCGTCGCTGACCTATGTAGATATCTGTGTCTGGCAATGTGTGCTGGCCTCATTCTATACTGATGCAGTGGAAGACTTGGGGTTAGTGGCCCTGAAGACTGGAAATACCATGGGAAATCCTGCTGTCCCTCTTGCTGTCTCACCATGTTTTCCCCTTATTCAAAATCTAACTTTGGATTTACTTTTTTCCTTAGAATAAGCACTTGCCATTCACTCTACCTTTTGGCATCTAGCTGCCCAGCCAAACACTTTCATGCATATATCCACGGTACTCTATCAGTTTATGTTATAGATATGTAAATGTCTTGTTATGTATATATCCATGGTACTCTACATGTGGTAGGTGTTTGGATTTTGCAGTTGTTTTCTAATTGTCTTCATTTTTGGAAGTAACACTGTCCTTACACTTTCCCTCTGGATATTCAGGCCTCTGTTAACTGCAACTAAGGCAGACATGAACTTTATGTCTGGAACACTTCTCAATGGTCTTGGGATTGGCTATATCCTCTAGCCCTACAAGACCTTTTTAAATGAGCTTCATCTTTAGATAAGATACTGACATACCTCTGCTGTGTCCTTACGTGTTTAATCTCATTCCTGGCTATGAATGAGCATAAAACATTTGTTTTTAAGGTAGGGTCTCACTATGTAGCTCAGCCTGGCCTGAAATTTGCTATGTAGCCCAGCTTGGCCTTGAACTCAGGATCTTCCTGCTTCCATGTTTCAAGTGTTGGGATTATAGGCATGCACCACTACTACCAGAAAACAAAAAGTATTCTTATCTTTAAAAAAAAAAAGAAATCTAGATATTTTATTAATTCTTTTGGCATCTCATTCTTCATGTGTGTTAAGAAATGTCCATGAGGCCGGGCACCTGTGGCTCATGCCTATGATCCTAGCTACTCAGGAGGCAGAGATGAGGAGGATCACAGTTCAAAACCATCCCAAGCAAATAGTTTATGAGACCCTGTCTTAAAAAAAAAACCCTATCACAAAAATATTGGGCTGGTGGAGTGGCTCAAAGTAAAGGCCCTGAGTTAAGCCCCCAGTACCACCCCCACACCAAAAAAAAAGAAAAGAAAAGAAAAGAAATGTCTGTGAGAAGAAATTTTTTAGATAGTAGATATCTGGAGATATTTTTCCTGGCTTCTTTGAGGAAGCATTAACTAAATTTGTCTTTCAGCTAGTTTGTCCAGGTTAATTTCCTACTTTGCTATAGGTGCCACCCATTTCCTACTAGTTTACTTTGAATCCTTTTATATATATGTCTTTTTTCACTTGTCTGCATATTATTATTACATTAGAGATGACCCCAGGCTTTTTGTGTTGTTTTGTAAAGTTAGCTATGGTCAGGATAGATGATTTTTTTCTCAAATCATTTTCTATTCTCTTGTGACTGCTATTTTGACCATATTAGTATATTTATTCTAAAACTTTTTAGATTGTTTTTAGGCAAGAGATTAAGTGAAAATTTGTGACTGGAAATTCCATTTCTCTCCCTTTTTTTTTTAATCTTTTGTTTGTGATTTGAAGTTAGGGACTCACGCTTGTTAGGGCCTCACACTTGTTAGGCAGGCACTGTACTACTTGAGCCACTCTGCCAGCCCTCCATTCCGAATCTCTTGAGTGGGAAGGAAGGAGAAAAAAATAAAATCAGTTGGCACCCTTATCGTGGTTCATACATCCAACCACAGGAAGCACACTTTACTTCTCCATCTGGGCCATAGTACAATGATGCACTCTGTGGGATCAAGTTCTGGTACTTCAGTCTGTAGGCTTATAAAAGACTCTGTGGGTCTTTGCCAACATGTGAATTCCAAACAAAGGAGGATGTTCATAGAAATGAATAATCACTACTACATCTTTTTACTCTTTTGTTTTGTAGATCCCACGAATCATTCTGTGGCTGATGGTGGAGTTGGCTATCATTGGCTCAGATATGCAGGAAGTCATTGGCTCAGCCATTGCCATCAACCTCCTGTCAGCAGGAAGGTGAGGGGGGTTTTCCTCTAGAAGAGTTATCAGTATTGTGCTGGGTTTCAAAGCCAAGGTAAAAATGAAAACCCAGCTCATTTTCAATTTTCAGAATTCAGCTCAAGTGTTGTCTTCTGTGAAGCTTTTCTGGAAGCAACTTCATGTAGTCTCTACATCTCCATTCCCATAGTGGGTTATACATACTGCTAGTATAAAGCGTGTAGCATTTTGTATTACAATTATTTATTTGTATGTCAGTTTATCCCACTAGGTAGTTAGTTCTGGAGGGTAAGACCTATTGTTTTTCAGGTGTATGTCCTACATTGTCTGACATAGTAGACTCTCAATCAAAGCTTCAATGAATGAACTTCCCTCCTCTTCCCTCCCTTCTCCCCTTCTTCCCCCTCCTTCCTGTATATTAATTGTACAAAGGGCTTTCATTACGATATAGCCTACATGCATATAATGTACTTTGTTACTCTTTCTTGTCCCCCATCCCCCTTTTTAAACAATTTTTATGGGTTTCATTATTCTATTTGCATACATGTATATGAAATACTTTGATCATATTTGCCCCTCCTTTCACCCTCACCTTCTGGTTCCCCCTTTAACAGGACCCACCATGTCATTCCATTTTTTTTTTTATGTGTAGATTTCACATATGAGAGAGATCATGTGACATTTGTCTTTCTCAGTCCACGTTACTTCATTTAGCATGACGATTTCTAGTTCCATCCATTTTCCTGCAAATGACGTAATTTCATTCTTCTTTGTTGCTGATCAATGTTTCTTTCTTTAATCTTCATTTCTTATCTCTAATCTAGGGTTCCCCTGTGGGGTGGAGTTCTTATCACCATCGCAGATACTTTTGTATTTCTGTTTTTGGACAAATATGGTAAGGCGAATGGGAATGATGGGATCAAAAACCACTTTCAATCACATGTTTGCTGGAGAAGTCCGCCTTCTGTGAGCTCACTGCTGTGTTTCCTCTTTAGGCTTGCGGAAGCTGGAAGCATTCTTTGGCTTTCTCATTACTATTATGGCCCTCACATTTGGATATGAGGCAAGTGTACAGACTATGCATTAGCTTTTTAAAACAAGATTTTGCTTTGTTTTCTTTTTCTTTGTAAAAGACAGTAATATTAGGATGGTTTAATTGTATTTTGTGATTTTGTTCATCAATAAGAAAACAGTGCAGTTCTGGGCTATTTTTGAAAGAATATAATTTATATCAGGAAGGTCTCTAGAGATTCCTAGGTCAAAAAATGACTAAACTCTGTAAGACTTTCTAGATTAAACTCCCTGTTCCTAAGTTGTCCATCCTGATAACAGCATTGGAAGAGGTAGAAGGGTTATTCTTGGCTGCTAACTTAAAATGGTTCTGTTTTTGCTTATCCTGGTTTAAATTAATTATAGCCTGAACTTTCCCTGTATTAAAACTTGAATTATAGGTCATTAGTGGTTATATCTTGGTTCATGCTCCAACCCAGACACTCCTAAAAATCAGTATCATTATTTTCAGTAATAACATCTTCCTGTGTCCAGTTGTTATAGACATGAATCTTCTAACTGGTATGGCTAAACATTAAAAACTATATCTAATCTCTGAATAGATCATGTGGGTTATCCCAAGGTTTCCAAAGAGAAATGCTGAACCAGAGAAAAGCATGAATGAGGAGTATTTATGAATGAGTCTCTCACTGTACATTAGGGGCCAAACACATAATTTTTAGATAAACATAGGTGAACAACTGCATACTAAGTGTGGATATTCAAAAATTAATCTGTATACCTGGATCTGTCTCTCCAGAGTTACAGTGAAGCTAAAAATAATAACACTATTAGCAGCCGTTTTATTTCTTTAAAATAGTAATTGTATTCTGTACACATCCATTCTATATAATCTTAAGAGTGTTATTAAATATTTAGATTATCTAGTCCTGAATTCTCTGACCCTTGGCAGTAAGCTCCTGTATTAATTACTTTTGCATACTTCTTGCATTTCCCAAAATACCTGAGAGAAACAATTAAAAGAGGAAAGATTTATTTAGTTCATAGTTTCAGAGGGTTTAGTCCATGAATGCTTGACCTCATGGACGTGGCAGAATATCATAGCAGCAGGAACATGTGGTAGAATAGGTTCCTCATCTCATGACAGATAGAAAGCAAAGAGAGACAGGAAGGGGGCAGGGTAATATATGCCCTTCAGTGACATGAAGCCAGTGACCTACTTCTTCTAGCTAGTTCTACCTCCCCACCATCTCCCAAAATAGCACCACCAGCTGGGGATCTAGTGTTCAGCACGTGAACCTATGAGGAACATTTCATATTTTAACCATAACACTCTCTTATGTTGCTTGTTTGTTTTTGTTTTGTTTTGTTGTTGCTAGGGATCAAACCCAGGGCCTTGCATACACTATACAAGTGCTCTACAGCTAAGCTACATCTCAGGTTTTTTTGTTGTTTTTACTCAAGCTGACCTCAAACTTCTGGGCCAAAGCAATACTCCTACTCACCCTCTCAAGTATCTGGGTCTATAGACATGAGCTACTGCATACAGCTCTTGCTTGTTTTTCGTTGATTTTTTTCTAAACTTTTTTTTTTTTTTTTTTTGGCAGTACTGGGGTTTGAGATCAGTGCTTCATGCTCGCTAGGCAGGTGCTCTAACACTTGAGCCACTCCTCCAGCCTTTGTCAATTTTTATATTCTTCATATCCTGGTTGGTTGTTGCAGAAGAAGGGGTTGTAAGGAGTAATGAATGACAGGTTTCCTTAGTACTGTGTTACTCCCAATATCTTGTTCCAGCAAAGGCTAATAGGTATTATGTTGGTTTTTAGTATATTACAGTGAAGCCCAGCCAGAGCCAGGTTCTCAGGGGCATGTTTGTGCCATCCTGTTCCAACTGTAGCACCCGACAGATTGAGCAGGCTGTGGGCATCGTGGGAGCTGTGATCATGCCACACAACATGTACCTGCACTCTGCCTTAGTGAAGGTGAGTAAGGCTGTTATCTCAGTGGCCTTCCATATAGCTCATGGGAAATTTCCCTTTAATTGCAAGGGACACAAATTTAGCTTAAAACTCTTAGAGCCCTGAGGGAGTAGGATATTTCCAAGACTAGATGGTCTTATTAAAGTCCACAGGCGTGGAGTATGTTTTTATCAAATTGAGCAGAGATTATTGACCCCACAAAGAAGCTGAGCTTACTTGCTTTATAAAAGTCTTAAAAGTACATCAGGCTTTTTGTTGTTCAATTTGTAAAACCTGAGTGGCCTTGGGAAGGTCAAGAGGAAAGAGCCCAGCTAAGATTTATATTACATATTCGATGACTGGGAGAGTTCAGAAACCTTTGTAATTAGGGTTATACAGCCTTAGGACTGAAATCAGTCTGCTTTTGTAGGTCAGTTGTCCTTCCAGCCACAATATCTGAGGGTTCATTAGTTACCTAGTCCCTGCTCTGTATTTGGGGAATGTACAGTGCTGTCAAGGGTATGGAGTTCTTAATCCCTTAATGAACTGGAATTTAGATGACTGTTATATCTCTTGTATTTCTTCTAGTAGTTATTTGCCCTCTTTATCTCTCAGCTGACTCTAAAATTCTGAGCTGTTACAAGGAAACTTGTTGCAACTGGTGAAAAATGATTGCTGCTGTTATCTCTGTAGTCCAGACAGGTAAACCGGGCCAATAAGCAGGAGGTTCGAGAAGCCAACAAGTACTTTTTCATTGAATCGTGCATTGCTCTCTTTGTTTCCTTCATCATCAACGTCTTTGTTGTTTCTGTCTTCGCTGAAGCATTTTTTGGGAGAACCAATGAGCAGGTGGTGAGTATGCCAGGGTCATGGGTGGGAGTGAATGTTAGGGTAAGATGAAGACTGGAATCGGGCAGGAATTTGCAACAATTACTTTGAGTCCTAGAAAATGAATGTACAGCCTCAGTCCTAGAGGAAAACTATACAACATTGGACTGGGCAATTTTAAAATTTTATTTATTTGTTTGTTTGCTTATTTATTTATTTATTTTTGGCTAATGGGAGTTGAACCCAGGACCTTAATTCTACCCCCTGTCACTCTATACCAGTCCAAGTCTATGGTCTGTGAGTTGACCAAGCCTACACCCATCTGCTGGGAAGAGACCTGGCCTCATACAATTGCCTTATGCAGTCACATAGGTGGCTTCACTGCTATTTGGCTCCTTGTCATCCACTTTTGTTTCCTGTGTATCAACTTCTGCCTACATACTGTTCTTGTTACTGGAGCTAAGGATAGGTTGGGAGGAGTCAGCAAACACACATTATGATGAGACAACCCGTGGATTGCAAGGAAATGTTTGTTTTGTCATTTTGAATCTGTGTCCTCTTGATTCCTGTTGCCTATTTTTATTTTTCTTTTTAAAGCAGTGCAGGGGATTAAACCTAGAGTTTTGACATGCTAGGCCTGAGCTCTACCACTCAGCTAAACTCCAGCCTTGATAGTTTTGATCACCATTTATTTCCCATTTATAGGATCTCTGACTCCGGCTCTACTTTGTCTGAGGCCTCCCTATTCATGGTGTCTTCTCATGTTTGAAGCCCTCTTAATGGCCTTTCTTGTCATCATTTAAAATTACTAAATGTATTTATATTTCCATATACATTCTGACTTAGCACAGAATTTTGATGACATGGGGATGTAAAAAGATTGTAGAGGAGAATCACAAACAATAGTGCTACCAGTATCTGTCCATGTCATATCCTATATCCAGATTTTCAGCGTACCCCTGATATAGGACTTCTGTTTGCTGTATAGGAGAACTATTTTTATCTGCTCCTTGCCTGTAAAATAAAAATTGCTTTTAAACTGTTTTGGGTTTTAGGTTAGTGTCTGTAAAAATAGCAGCAGTCCCCATGCTGACCTCTTTCCTGAGGATAACTCAACTCTGGCTGTGGACATCTACAAAGGGGTAAGTATTTTCAGGTTTGCGATCTTTGGTCTTGGATCAGTCTTCTTAACATATTATCTGATCTATGTGTGAGTTTGTTTCAAATCTGAGCATAGCTCCTCTGTAGTGTAATTTATTTTAGAGGTCGAGATGCTTGCCAGACAAGTATTTTTGGATTCTACAGAGCCTGGGGGGAATAGAATATCATTTGAAGAGATGGATTATATACCAGCATTTCTTTTTTTTTTTTTTTTTTGATGGTACTGGGGTTTGAACTCAGGGATTTGCATTTGCAAGTGCTCTACTGCTTGAGTCTACTGCTTGAGCCACACCAGTTCTTAATATTGTGATAGTATACATTGTTCTACAGGATGTTAACTGGGGTAACTAAAAGAAAATGTTCTTCACAAGGGTCTCTCAGTCTCTTTATACTGGTTATATTGTGACCCTCCAAGAGGAGAATGTATGTTGCATTTCATTTCCCAAATTTATTTGACCTTTCCCTGCATTCCTCTTACCATTTTCCAGAACAGTGGCTACACAGTATAATTTGGGAATTTTGTATAGACTTCTGAGCTTTTTTGTTTGTTTTTTCTGTATTTAAGATGGAGGTTGAAAACGAAGGCGTTTGGAACTTAGAGAAGAGAAAGGACTGCATGAGGAATGAGGGAGCATCCAGTAAAGTTGAGATTAAGCCTCTAGAATCAGATTCTGATCTGAGTCTGGGGCACTGGTAGCATAGTACTTGGTGTGGATGACACTGAGCAAAGAGGAGGGAGGAATGCTGCAGAGAAATGCTGTTCTGGGTGCTGTGTAAGCACATGACTGACACAGCACATCTTTCTCCTTTGCCTCTCTCAGGGTGTTGTGCTGGGATGCTACTTCGGGCCTGCAGCACTCTACATCTGGGCAGTGGGGATCCTTGCTGCAGGACAGAGCTCCACCATGACAGGAACCTATTCTGGTCAGTTTGTTATGGAGGTATGTGCTGGTGCTGAATACTGGGAGATGACATAGCCATTTAGCATTCCTTTATCTCATGCTTCTAAGGTCTCTCCTTAACCTCCCCAACTCCTGTTCTTTTTCTTATTCCAGTCACTCATCCTGTTTCTGCCTTTTTTTCTAGGGATTCCTGAACCTAAAATGGTCACGTTTTGCCCGAGTGATTCTGACACGCTCTATTGCCATCATCCCCACTCTGCTTGTTGCTATCTTCCAAGATGTGGAACATCTAACAGGGATGAATGACTTCCTAAATGTTCTGCAGAGCTTACAAGTAAGCAGGGAGCTGTGGAACTCATATCTCATTTAGTCGGCATTAAGTCCAGTCCTTTGGTACCAAGTCTTGTCCTGGGTTCTGGGGAGGAAATTCAGAGGACAAAAGAGGCAAAGTATCTACATCTGCATTTATAATGCTTTTATGAGTGGTTTTGTTTTTCACGCTGGTTGAATGGAAGTTGTGACCTATACTTACATATAAAATACAAAATTATAGCTCACTAATCCAGCAAACATTAAATGGCTATAAGACACTATTCTAGGTCCTATGGAGGTTAAGAAGTTAAGTCAGATCCAATATTTTGTCTTTATGGACACAAAGACACACATAATTGTCATTGGGGCTAGGGTAAGGACAGCTCAACAGATTTCACCATAATGCTTGAGCATTTCAGGATGATAGGAATAATTATTTTTCATGGAGTGGGTCATACAGGGTTTGTGATATCCTTGTACAAACTGCAGTTTTCTGCAGTGATACAGGGACCCCAGAATCTCAGTCTGACCTTTGTTTTCCAGCTTCCCTTTGCTCTCATACCCATCCTCACATTCACGAGTTTGCGGCCAGTAATGAATGAATTTTCCAATGCAATGTAAGTGTACTCATAGTTCTCCAAAGGGCTGGTGCTAAGTGGGAAGAGTATTTTTAGCCAACGCACTAATCAGAAATGAGTCAGACAGGGGAACTATATGCTTGAGAGGTGATTGTTATCTGCTTCCTCTTTGGCACAGAGAATGGAGAGTACGAATGTAGTAAAGGACCAGGAACACACTTTTTGTGCAGCTGTTTGGGCTTGTACTCTTCAGCTTCAGCCACTGAAGTATGAATTCTATGTTAAATGATCTTAAGGAGAAAGACAAGCTAATACATTTTGCATACACCTTGAAGGGATATAGGGAATTTGTATGGCACTGCATTTTAAGGGAATCTAATGAAATAGCTAACTAAATTTCTAAAGCTTTGTTACTTATCTAAGGTGTGAAACATTGGGATTTATTTGCTGTATTCCCTCCACCCCTTTCTTCCTAACTTTGGCTCTCTTTTTGCAGTGTCTCTAACCCCTGTAACATTAACACAATGAGATGTAGTTTTCTTTTCTGTCTGTGACCAGGTTAGACTATTTTGCCACTCACTATGTTGATTCTTTTACAGAGGATGGAGGATCGCAGGCGGGATCTTGGTCCTTATTGTCTGTTCCATCAATATGTATTTTGTAGTGATTTATGTCCAGGATCTAGGGCATTTGGTGTTGTATGTGGTGGCTGCAGTGATCAGCGTGGCTTATCTGGGCTTTGTGTTCTACTTGGTAAGTTCAGTCTGGAGGGAGCAGGGGCATAAGTGTCTGGGATGGTGCAGGTAGTGCTAACTGATACTCAGAAATGAACAGGTCCATAAGACTAGCTACTTGGGACACTGAGATCAGGAGAATTGGGGCTCAAGGTCAGCCTGGGCAAATAGTTTGTGAGACCCCCATCTCCAAAATAACCAAAGCAAAATGGATGAGAGGTGTGACTCAAGTGATAGAGTGCTTTGCAAGTGTGATACCCTGAGTTCAAACCCCAGTCCCACTAAGAAAAAAAAAATATTCTGGTTATAAAATATAGTTACATAGATAAAGGAGGCAAATTTTTGTTTGTTTTTTGAGGTAGGATCTTACTACATAGCCCAAACTGGCCTTGAACTTTTGATCCTCCTACTTCAGCCTCCCAATTGCTGGGATTTTAGGGAGGTGCCATCATGCCTTGTGCAAATTTTTTTGTACTTGGATTATCAGGGAAAGAAAATTTTTTTGAAGAAAGTAAATTATGCAAAAATGATAATAGTAGTCATTTAGGAAAGTGGGATTATAGATATATTTTCCTCTGTTTTTCAAATGTTCTTTAACATTGCTAATACTGGTTAAAAAAAGAAAACAAAACAGCAATAGTGACAGGTTTACCTTTCTGTTGTATATGGTTTCTCTGAAAAAAACACAAGGATTGAGGATTAGGAGCAACAGAATTTAAGCCATTTCTGCTGCAGAGTGGTTAAAGATGGAGATTAGAACCCTGCTGTTGATCTCCAGAACACTTACCTAGTTCCACATGCCAATCAATGTCTGCCACAGGTTAGGTACCTGATTCAGTGAATATTGATACACCTTGATTGGTGTATCCTTTCTCTTCCTCTTCCCAATAAATGTCAAGCATACAAAAACAATACTGACTCTAGGACCTAGGAAACTCAAGTACCTGCATACAGTAAGCATTCCTTAATCATAGGTTATTACATGCAGTTTTGACTAAGCGTGATCAAAAATATTAAGTTTTTTTTAAATGTCAAATTTCAAAAGCAAAAATTTTAAGTTTTAGCACACAAATTATGCAGAGGAGTCCTCAGTTGACCCCAACTTATTATCAGTTGTGTATAAATCTTTGTGTGATCTGAGTATTTCCCTATCCGTAATTTTGTGAAAATATGCCTCCCAAAAAGCAAATGGTACTTGCAAAAACCAAGATAAAAGTTAGTATCCCAGTCAGAAATAATGTGCCTAATTTAAGTGATAAAGTGAAAATTTTAGATTTGTCTTTACTAGAAATTGGGCAGCATTAGGAGAAAAATGAATCAACCATCTGCAGTATAATACTGAACTGCATATAATCTTACTGTTCATGGTTTTTCTTTGATGGCAGTCTCCTTGGAACCATATACCTGCAGATAACCAAGGGTCTACTGTATGTCCTGGACAGGAATTGTTTTGAAAATTCACTTAGGGGAATTCTTCCTTCATACCAGTTGCTTATGAAGGTGGTGAGATATCCTAAGTGATCCTGAGACTAGTGAGAGTGTTGAAGTCCCATTTTTGTAGGTGAAGGCCAATTTAAAGTTACCATTTAACTGTAAAACAGCAACTTCACAGAATAGCTCAGGAGACTCCATCAGGTGTATTAGTATGTCAGTCATTCTCCCCATTCCTCATGGTGAGGAGTAGGGGGATACTGAAAAAACAGTCATCAGGGAATTTCCAGTTGAAGAAAAGAAATAAACCACAAACACAAAGTGGTAGGAATAGAGAGAAGTCAGTATTGAAAACAGAATGGGAAGCCCTTGTTGAAGAAGATGGACTTCAGGCTATTTGGATGGGGGTGTGGCTGGGGGCCCTGATTTGGGCAGCCCTTGGTGGTAGAAGAAGATAGGTGAAACTGGGTGTTTTTTTTTTTTCTTTTAAATATATCTTTTATTCATATGTGTATACAATGTTTGGGTCATTTCTCCCCCTTTTTCCCCACCCCCTCCATCTTCCCCCCACCCCCTCGCTTCCAGGCAGAGACTGTCATGCCCTTATCTCTAATTTTGTTGAAGAGAGAGTATAAACAATAAGAAGGACAAACGGTTTTTGCTAGTTGAAATAAGGATAGCTATACAGGGAGATTCCTCACATTACTTTCATGTACATATTGTCACATTCTAAGTTGATTCTTCTTGAACTGACCTTTTCTCTAGTTCCTGGTCCCCTTCTCCTATTGGCCTCTGTCTCTTTAAAGTTTTTGCATTAGTTCCTTTGCATTGAGAACATCAAATGCTATCATATTCTTTTTGGGTATCTTACCTATCCTCATACCTCCCTTGTGTGCTCTCACCTTATCATGTGACGAAAGTCCAGTTCCCTTGCTATATTTGCCCTTGATCTAAAGTCCGCATATGAAGGAGAACATACGATTTTTGGTCTTCTGAGCCTCACTAACCTCACTCAGGATGATGTTCTCCAGTTCCATCCATTTACTTGCGAATGCTAAGATTTCATTCTTCTTCATGGCTGAGTAGAATTCCATGTGTATAATTACCACATTTTCTTAATCCATTCGTCAGTAGTGGGGCATCTTGGCTGTTTCCATAACTTGGCTATTGTGAACAGTGCTGCAATAAACATGGGTGTGCAAGTGCCTCTGGAGTAACCTGTGTCACATTCCTTTGGGTATTTTCCAGGAGTGGGATTGCTGGATCATATAGCAGATCTATGTTTAGATTTTTAAGAAGCCTCCAAATTTTTTTCCAGAGTGGTTGTACTAGTTTGCATTCCCATCAGCAGTGTACAAGGGTTCCTTTTTCCCCACATCCTCGCCAACACCTGTTGGTGGTGGTGTAAAACTGGGTGTTTAAGGTCAGAAGCAGTGTGTATTGAGCAGTGCTGGAGGAGCAGTCTTGGTGGGTGGGGGTCTTCCCAGAGCCTGGTGAGTGATGACTATGTCTTATCTTCCAGGGTTGGCAGTGTTTGATTGCACTGGGCATGTCCTTCCTGGACTGTGGGCACACGGTAAGCATCTCTAAAGCCTTGCTGACTGAAGACACCAACGGTGGCCGTTCTAAGTAAACACTGGATCAGTCTGTCCTCTACAGGGAGCCATCAGAGCCAGTGTGTTTCTATGGTTTACTGTGTGAACAAAACCACAAGTATGTGCTGTTGCACACACTGCATTTAGGACTCAACTGCTGGTTGGGAAAGACTTTGTTTCATGCGTCTTTGAAAGAAGATTTTTTTCTTCCTGACTTCCTAGCCTGAGTACTGGATTAGGTAGGATCTTTGAAAAGCTGACATTTGCTGCTATCATTCCAACACTAAATTCTTAAGAAACTGCATAAGGGCCAGCTAATTTTATCCTTTTAAGAGAAAATTCTCTGTGCATGATTCTTAACCAGACTATATGTTTTAAAAAATTGGAAAGTGCAATACATTTTTCATAATACAAACTACAGACATGGTAGTTACAGATAAGCAACTTTTGTTTATCAAAAGTTAATGGATGTAAAAAGATAAATGCTTTTATGTACACACTTTCAATTGTTTTAATTACAAAAAATCAAAGTGGTTTCTTTCATATGAAATATAAAATTAAGAGACATCAGACTGTACATATGGCTAAAGAGGTAGAGCACCTGCTTTGCAAGCGTAAAGCCTTGAGTTCAAACCTCAGCCAGACATGCACACACAAAAAATTAAGAGACATCAACTCTGGGTGCTGGGTGTGGTGGTGCATATCTATAATCTCAGCTACTCAGGAAGCAGAGGTAGGAAGATCATGTCTGAGGCCAGCCCAGGAAAAAGCTCCTGACTATCTGAAAACAAACTAATAAAATAAAAGGACTGGGGACATGGTTCAAATGGTAGAGCACCTGCCTACCAAGTGCAAGGCCCTGAGTGCAATCCCTAATAGAGAGAGAGAGAGAGAGAGAGATCAAGTTATATCAGGCTCAGGATTCTTATTTCCACTTTAACTTCTCAGTGGAAGTTTTAAGAAGCACGAGATAGCATAATGGAGGTAAAAATGGACAAATAGCAAAACTCACCTCAGGACTTTTTGGCAGTCCTGAGGTTAGTATTAATTACGTTACAGAGTTTTCCAGGTGATGTTTACTCCTTAGCACAAGTAGTTATAGACACTTCACCTACTTCCTCCAAGTGGGTGGTAAGAACTGATTTCTCTGGAGACCTTGTGGGTGGGCAGGAGGACTCAAAACGGAAAGAATTGCCATCTGTGTTATTTCTGAAAGCCACCCCTCACTATGTATTTTTCTCATACACCACTTGGCTTTGTGTCCAAGATGTCTTGTATCTCAGGAGCAGTGGCCCTAACTGTTATCAAGTGTTCTTTCTCTCTCAGCAAGTCAGTAGGTGTCATTGTGGTTGCAAAGTCCTCTCTCAGCAAGGTGGGACTGGGCTACTCTTTCCAGCTGTTCCCTCAGAGGGAAAACTGTGAGACCAGAAGGTGGAGCTCTGGAGTAGAGGAAATGGTCAGCATGGAGCCTGCTGCTTTTATTTCAGCCACTTCTGACGTTTTTACAAGGGGAGTCTGAGACTGGGATTCTCTCACATCATTCACACTTGTCTGGTGGGCATGAATGAGCAAACTCTCTATAGCCATAGCCTTGGTGAGAATGGGAGTGGAGAGAAGGACTTCTCTTCTGTGGAGCTTTCCTTCTGAAGTTCTGGGTGATTGATGTTCTCTGTTCATCTGCACCCCAAATGCATTATTACTGATATTTTGCACATAGTCAAAAGACAGCCTGGATGGATTGTCTTTAAGGCATTACGGATAAACTACTATGTTTCACTCACTGTATTTTTCTCAGTGCCTCAATACAGCACAGAATCATAAATGACTGTTCCCCTTCCTATTCCTCTTCTTTCATGCACCTCTCCCCCTACCGCTCTCATTCACCAAACTGATCATAAAGGTGTTTTGAAGATCTTAGGCACTGATGTCTTAAGGTTTTGTCTGGCAACAGTAGGAAAGTCCAAATTCACACACACACACACACACACACACACACACACACAATTTACCTTTGTCCTTGTGTGGGTGGGTCCAGTTTATCCAGGTTGAAAAACATTTAGGAGCCCAACAAAAGCTACTGAATTTTTTTAATTTTTCTACTACAATGGAGGTCAAGTCCAGGGCCTGATGCATTCTAGACAAGTTTCTACCACTGAGCCCCAGCCCTTGAATTCTTTTTACAATTAAAATTATGGTCTACAAATGGATGGAATGTTTCTTCCCAGTTAAATGGCATGTTATAATTCTGAGTATAGTATTTTGCAGTGTCAGAAACACTCCCTCTTCTATTTGGTCCTTATAGGGAGAAAGTATACCTCAAACAGTTCTCTGTGTACAATAAATAATGTGTAGAAATGGATGATCCTGAATTCACAGTCAGCCTGAGATATATAGCAAGATTTGGTCTCATGGTTTTAAAAAATTTTTTTGAAGAAAAAAAATTAAGTCCTCCAGTGGTAGCATATGCAGTACATTCTGGCATTATATTTGTGTGAAATGTTTAAGGATATACAATTGTGCTTTTTGTAAATTGGTCCTTGTTCTCCTTAAACGTAACATGAGATCATTGTACTGCTACCTTGTACTGGGAATTAATAGATGGGAAGAGCCTCAGTTGGCTTCCGTGGGGTCTGGGCCAAGGATGCCAGGAGTGCTTACAGTGGGCTTTTAACAATATGTAAACTTGATTTGTAATTAAAATTTTTTTCTTTTTCCAATTTGGTTTCCTGGTTATTTTTTTTATCCTTGAAAATGTTTTATTAATAGGGTCTCAACAACTTTGATATATAGATACCAAAAATGTCAGTTACTATCTAGAGATGCATACTAAGCTTACTTTGTTAATGCTTCTTTCCTTGAAGGGACAGAGAAGCAAATGGGTTTAGTCCTTACAGGGCTTGGGTTAATTTAAGACACTAATTTCTGTTTACACTTTTAGTCAATTAGTATTGCTATAGCTAAAGGTCACATTATTACCATGTTTCAATTTGAAATTTTATTCTACTTTTCTCTATTCTAAGCTGAGTATCTGTCTATCTGGAGTCTTGTTTCTCCATTCAGGTAGGCTTTTTCATTCTGTATTTGCTGCCAATAAAAATTAGTATTTAAAGAGAGAAGCCAAAATTGCTTACCTTAGAAACAAATGATTGGGTGAGGTGGCTCATGCCTATAATCCCAGCTACTTGGGAGGCACAGATTGGAAAGATCATGGTTTGAGGCCAGCCCAGGCAAAAACTTAGCAAGACCCATCTCAATCACTAAGCCGGGTATGGTGATGTATGCCTGTGTTTGCACCTACTTGAGAGGCACAAATATGAGTATCATGGCCCAGACCAACCCAGGAAAAAACATGAGACCCTATCTGAAAAACAGCTAAAGCACAAAGGGCTGTGTGATTCATTGGTAGAGCGCCTGCCTAGCAATTGTGAAGGCCCTGAGTTCAAACATCAGTATCACCAAAAAAAAAACAAAAAAAAAACTGAGCATTTTGGCAGACCTGATACAAATGTATATGTTGGCACTGCTTATTAAAGAGATCTAAAGCCATATGCTGGTGGCTCATACCTGTAATCCTAGCTTCTCAGGAGGCAGAGATCAGGAGGATCACAGTTCTGAGCCAGCCCCAGGCAAATAGTTTGTGAAAATTTATCTTGAAAATACCCAACACAAAAAAGGGCTGGTGGAGTGGCTCAAGCTGATGGAATGCCTGCCTAGTGAGTTTGAAGCCCTGATTTCAAACCCCAGTACCACCACCAAAAAAAAAAGAGATGAAGTTCAAGTGCATTGTACTATCAGCCCTGTCACCAGACAGGTGATGGGAAAATCTAAGTCTGCACTTAATTTGCCCCAGGAGTGACACCAGAACTTCATTTTCCTTTTGTGTTGCAAGCTTTCCCACCTGTTTCATAGGAGCTGAATACTATAAAGAACCCCATGGAGGTTCTGCACATTGGCCTTCTTCATTTAGCTCTTAATTTAGATTTAATTTCAGAAGATGCAAAACAGCTTGAAGATCTTTGAGACATTTCATCTAACTGCCCTTTGGAATGTCTTCTCTTCCATTGGTAGGACCAATGGCTATAGGCATGCTAGCCTTTCCAGTCACCTAAGTTTATGTATATTAGAATGGCAAAATTACTAGATGCTTCCCCTGATCTGAGCACTTGTGCTGTCTCATTACCCCTTATAACAAGAGAAATTAGTCTCTATCATGAGGCAGCTGAAAGACCAAATGTAACTTGCCCTCATCATATTGCTAATAAATGGACATTTGTCAGTTGAACTTGAGTAGCACAATGCTAGAGCCCACATAATTCATTTCCAAATATGTAATACATACCACGTTGGATTAAGGCACCAAGCTTGGTTCTTGAGCAGCATGCAGAATGCGAAGACATCTAAACATTAGAGCCAGGCATGGTGGCACATGCTTTATAATCCTAGCACTCAGGAAGCCAAGGCAAGAGGATTGCAAGTTCAGAGTCAACCTGGTCTATATGTAAGACCCTGTCTCAAAAAAGTCAAAATATTCTGAATAGTGCTAGAATATGTTTTAGCTCAGAAGTTGCCCACAGGTAGACTACTTGGTCTGTGCTAAATTTTAAAGGGCAAGTTTGTCAGGCTTAGAAAATGGACAGGGTCATTTAGAGTCCTACCTGGGCAAATAGCTAAGACCTAATAATGTGCATACTCATTTTTTGCACAACCTGTCTGCCCCAAAAGTATTTTAGCCTGTTCTTGTGCCACTTAACCACATTTCCCAATGTCTCAGAACCACATTACAGACTTCTCCAATAAACAGGTTCTACCTACAAAGTCATCTAAGTGACATCTAAGTGTGTGAGCATCACAGATCTAGTAATGCAAGCTTTGTTGCATAATGATGAAGTCCTTTATCTTTGCTCACTTGGGGAAAGTTTCATTGAATCATCAGTGAGTTTGACAATGACTACTAGTCACTTAGCCTGTGATATGAGACCCTAAAGTGAAGAAGCAAGCCAATCTGAAGAACCCAGAGTCACTCAGTTTCTTCCTAGCCCACTAGTTGGGGGAGATTTGGTCCTGAGCAGCATCTGGTCTATGTCATCTTCACACAATCATCACAAAAATCCCATGAGCTTACGCAGGGCAGTGTGTAATATATTAAAATATTTACTGAAGACTAACATGAGAGACTATACTAGTGTACTTGGATTTCCAAATGTAGCAATTATTCCCATTTTACACGTAAGTGGAATAAGGCTCCAACAGGATACATGACAAGATCAAGATCATGAGAAGGGACAGTGTTGTACCTTGAACCCAACTCAATACATTTTCCACTACATTATGAAAGGGATGCTTCCTTCTTACAGATTGGTAGTCTGCATTCTGCATTAATTTACAGGCTGTTGGTCTCAAAAGATAATAATGTTCCCAAAGTTCTAATTAATAACAGAAGGGCTAAAATGAGAGTTTGTGCCAAGTTGTATTCAGGGAATAGAAAAAGTAAAAAGAGATACAACTTCACAGATCCCAACAGAAACCATCTGGATTCAGTTCTCTAGGAGTGGGGTTTGGAAATGTTTTAAAAGTAGCTGAGGTGATCCTGATCAGCTCGGCAAACATTTGGGATCCATAGATTGTCTCCTTCTCACTACATTATCTTTTTGTTTTTCATTGAAAGGTTTTTAGCCTCTGCTCAGGTGCCAAATGATAATGGGATCAGAATTATAGGGCTTATGATTTAGGTCATTTGAAATCTGATTTCCAATACATGCAGTCCTAAAATGCAAAAGCATTCTGCATGTTGTGCTGTAATATCCTGATGTGAAGTCCCTTCCTGAGACTGTCAGAGGCTAATTTTAGTGAGGGAATTTGACACTATCCTGAACTACGTAAGTTGCTTTTTTTTTTGGTGGCAATGGGGTTTGATCTTAGGGCTTCCTGCAACTTCTGTTTATGTTAAACATTAGAAACAAGTCATGTATCCATAAACTATTTTTTTTCTGAAGAAAATTACAGCAGTATTGAAAAGAAGGCCTAAATTTATATGCTGATTATGAGAACTTAAGTGTCTGTTTCAAAATTTAACTCTCTTCTTTTTTGTCCTTAGTACCACCTGGGATTGACAGCTCAGCCTGAACTCTATCTTCTGAACACCATGGATGCTGACTCCTTTGTGTCTAGATGACTAACAGCCTGAGAGACTATACGTGAACATTTTCTCTAAGCCTTTTTGGGCCAAGTGTCTGTTAACATATCTCTGTTAATTCAGAGGTGAGTTTTGTTCAAGTGTTTTGAACAAAAGCAAAGATTTCCTCATGGGAACAGGGGTAAAAGCTGACAGCTATAAATGTAGGTCAGAGACCCACCCACCTCACAACACTCATACAATAGCCAGATTAAATGACTGGCTTGTGATGGCCACACACTCCTATGGGCTTGTGTCTTGACTACTGGAATTTTAAAAACATGTGTTTATATGTATTTATGTAAACCTGAACATATCAGTTTGAGAAGAATTTTAAGGTTATAGAAAACTAATAGGTCTTTTGTTAAAAAATATTGTTCAGATAAATTAGATAATTGTTGTCCAGATCACAAGCAAGAAAGGAAAGGAAATAATGCTCTTTTGACAGTGAACTTGTCAAACTGACTATCTTTTTAAATCACTTTACTCTGCTGGTTAAGTTTCACTTCACTGTCATCAACCAAAGAGCATCTACTATTAATCAGCACATCATTTCTAAAGAAAACCCTTCTACTATTTGATAATCATATTTAACCCTAGTCATCAGCCTGCTTTTTAATTACTATTGTCTTTGTTGTCACTTTCCTTGAATTTTTTCCTAATTATTAAACAAAGATATGATGGTATTTGCCAACCAGCTTAATGTGTAGTAAAACATCCACAAGTCATACTTTTAACCAATGATTGGTTTTCCATGCTGCAGTGTAACTCAGTTCATTCTGGCATTAGAGTTTTAAGTCGAAAAAAGAAACTAACATTTAATGGTGTTAAGTCCTCACACAAGATAATGGAGACATTAATTTTATTTTTCTGGTACTGGGTTTTGAACTCAGGGCCTCACACTTACTAGGAAGGCTCTCTATCCCTTGAGCCACTCCACCAGCCCATGTGTTTTCTTACCACATTTCTTATTAACACAGCAAATCCCATTTCTTGGTCCTAATTATTTCTAAGAGTGGTTTGTATTTATATTTGTGACTCTCGTAGGGAGTGCCAAGCATTTCATTTTAAGATAATTGTGACAAGTAGCACGAAGTTAGTACTAGATTGGAACTTAGGAGACTAATCCACATACCACAAACTGCCTGCTTGCATGTAGTTTGTAGATTATTTTACCCCTGTTCCTAACTAGGAATTTTTTCCCTTAAATTTTTTTATAATAAAAAAGTTTATATTTAAAAATCAAAAGTTTTGTAGTCAGTAACTCAGTTGTAGAGTGCTTGCCTAGCATGTGTAAAGTTCTGGGGTTGATTCCCAATAACTAAATAAAAAAAAACTAAATAAAAAAAAAGAGTTCGATCAGAATTATCTGGTTGAAGTCAGAAGATTTGCAGCACTGGGACCACATTGCTGCCTGGAAGTGCGATTGGCCAGAACTGAATCACAGTTTTCAGTGTCCTCCAGGGTGGCAACACCCTGTTCCATCTACATTGCCTTTTAGCTCCCAGTGTGACTTTGAACATTACTTTCTTCTTTCACCATAAAAGGTAAATGACCTTTCTGCCCTACTTTAAGGCTTAATACCTTTTAGAATTACATGTATATAAATGTTAATTAATACGTTAATCCAGACATTTGCCTAGCTTCATTTATTTTGGTTTGGCTCTCTAAGTGGTGGGGAATTTTCTACACTGACACCTTAAAATTCCATTTCCACTTGAGAGGCTCTTGAGACTTCAGATAAGAGCAGCAACCCTGTAATCTAGGATGGAGTCCTTTTGATACTAAAATTGAAATGGAATTAACATCCAGAATGAGTTTTCACTTGACAAATTGAAGTTGCAGTGTTTTTTTCATACACCAGCAGTAATTCTTTTTTTTTTTTTCTTTTTTCTTTTTCTTTTATTATTCATATGTGCATACAAGGCTTGGGTCATTTCTCCCCCCTGCCCCCACCCCCTCCCTTACCACCCACTCCGCCCCCTCCCTCTCCCCCCCCCAATACCCAGCAGAAACTATTTTGCCCTTATTTCTAATTTTGTTGTAGAGAGAGTATAAGCAATAACAGGAAGGAACAAGGGTTTTTGCTGGTTGAGATAAGGATAGCTATACAAGGCATTGACTCACATTGATTTCCTGTGCGTGGGTGTTACCTTCTAGGTTAATTCTTTTTGATCTAAACTTTTCTCTAGTACCTGTTCCCCTTTTCCTATTGGCCTCAGTTGCTTTTAAGGTATCTGCTTTAGTTTCTCACCAGCAGTAATTCTTGATGAGCCAGTTTGTTGGATTTCCCTCTACTCCTTGACAATTCCTTTTTTTTTTTTGTGGTACTGGGGCTTGAACTTAGGGCCTACACCTTGAGCCACCTCACCAGCCAGGTGTAATTCCATTTCTTAGTAGTTTCATTACCAGAAAATGGTGGGGAAAGAAGGTAAAAAAAAAAAAATAAGAACGTATTATTTTGCATTTCCTAAAAAGATAAGGTGGTTGGCTGAGCTTAAGTACTCTTTTGGGATTTCAGTAGCTCTTGTCCATTTTTTAAGCATGTTACTAGGTACACAGTTGTACTTCTGCAAGTTTACAAGTATTACTCTGAGGTCACACAACTACTGGAATCAGAAGATTTGCTAATAAAGTAAACTGGATCATGATACATACAGTAGAGGAAGTTGATGTCTAAGAAGTGAGTCTTGAGCCAGGCACCAGTGGCTCACGCCTATAATCCTAGCGATTCAGGAGGCAGAGATCAGGAGAATTGTGGTTCAAATACTTCTCGAGACCCTATCTTGAAAACATCCAACCCCCAAAAAGGGCTGGTGGAATGGCTCAAGTGGTAGAGCACCTGCCTAGCAAGCATGAAGCCCTGAGTTCACATACAAAAAAGTGACTCTTGGATAAGCTTTCTGGCAAAATTCAGAATGTTATTTAGGTATGGTGAGGCATGCCTTAATCCCAGCTAGTACTCAGTTGTTAGAGAACAGGAGGATCATGATTCAAGGCCAGTCCGGGTAAAATTCATCTGAATAAACAAGCTGGACATGGTGGTGTGTACCTGTGGTCCTAGCTATGCAAGAGGCACAAATGGGAGGACTGTAGTCCAGGCTGACCTGGACAAAGACATGAGACCCTACTCGAACAATAACTAAAGCAAAAGAGACTGGAGGTGTTGGTCAAGTGGTAGAGCACCTGCCTAGCAGTGTGAGCCCCTGAGTTCAAACCCAGTAACACCAAAAACAAAAACCCCCAAAACAAACAAACAAAACCCCAGAAAAACAACAGGAAAAAACATTTCATAAACTCAGATCCAGGTGTGGCCTCACATACTTCTAATGCTAACACTCAGGAGGCTGAAGCAGAGGATCACAAATTTGATGCCAGCCTGGGCCACATAGTAAGATCCTGTCTCAAAAAAATAAAAAGCATTTAATCATTCTCTAATATATGAGTCACAGTTCTGGAATTCTATATGAAGTATGCTTATGCATGTATTAGTCTTTTTCCTGTTACTATAACAAAATACTTGAGGCTAGGTACTTTATTAGAAAAAGATTTTTATTAGCTCACAGTACTGGAGGTTCAGGTGCATGGTGCCAGATTTTCTCACCTCTGATGAGGGCTCACTCATCAAGGTGGGAGCACTGGTGAGAGGGAGAGATCGTATCGGGAGACAAGGAACCAAGGGTCAGGCTCTCTTTTATAGCAACCTGCTCTCATAAGTAACTCAACAAGAACCACTTTAATTCCAACATCAGAGCCCCCATTGACCTAACCATCTCCCAGTAGGCCCCACCTCTCAACTATGCACACCAAACATTCTAACACATGACCTTTGTGGGACATGTTCAAACCATAGCATGCAGATACTAATGTAATCCATCTGAGGATGACCTGGACACATTCACTGAATTCCTGGGATTCCCCACTATCGAGTCAGATTGTAACAGGATGCTCTGAAAATATATGCACAGAATGTCCAGAGATGGGGAATTGAATACTTGTTACTGAGCAGCTGCTGCTTTGTAACTCTGTCAACTGAATATAAAATGCAGGCAGAACACATCCGGGCTTATGATTTAGCTTACTTAGCAAGTGAGGCATCAGGTTTCAAAGCAGCCAATGAAAATAGCCTTCTTTACTTCAGACATTACAACATTAGGCCAGTAAAGCTTTCCCCCGGAAGTATTTTGCAAATTCAGATATTATAAAGTATCTGTTTATAGGGTCTGCTGCAGTGACCCTCCCCCTAAACCCAAGCTGAAGAGCACAAATGAACATCCTGAGTAATTCTCAACTTTTCTCCAAGTGTGAGTTTACAACCTAATTTAAACACAGTTTGTAAGTATAGCTACACTTAATAAATACTTGGCATTGCTTTTTTTTTAAAGCAACAAATACATTATTTTCATTCACTCAGTAACATTACAAAATTGGGGAACCTATTTGGTTTTGATATAAATGTCATCTTTTAGGCCAGATGTGGTGGCTCACACCAATAATCCCAGCTACTCAGGAGGCAGAGGTTGGGAGGATCATGGTTTGAGACCAGCTAGGGTAAAAAAAATTAGTGAGACTTCCCCATCTCAAACAATAAGACAGGCATGATGGTGCACGCTTGTGGTTCCAGCCATGTGGGAGGCCAGAAGACTGGTCTGAAGCTAGACGTAGGCAAAAATGTGAGACCCTGTCTCAGAAATAACTAAAGCAAAAGGGTTGGAGGAGTGGCTTAACTTTTAGAGCACCTGCCTAGTAAGCATGAGGCCCTGAGTTCAAACCCCAATACTGCCAACAAAAAAAAGCCTAGTCTACAAAGTGAAACCCCGTGGGCTTTTTTTTTTTTTTTCCTGTGGTACTGGGGTTTGAATTCAAGGCTTCCCACTTGCTAGATAAGCGCTAGACTACTTGAGCCACTCTACCAGCCCTATTTAAAAAAAAAAAAAGGCTGTTTTCTAATAAAGGATGTTTAATATATTTTATATGCTGATTTACACTGAAAGCAGAACAGATTCATGCCAGTAGCCTGGTTAGAAATATCTTTTCAGGGCTTGGGGTGTTGCTCAGTAGTAGAGCACTTACCTAGCTTGCACAAAGTTCTGGGTTCAATCCCCAGCACTGCAAAAAAAGGAAAAATTAGGTCAGAAAAAGGCATCAAGAGTAGGTATTTCTCAGTTGGCTGCTTGTGGATTTGGAAACCAATGTCTTAAAACATTTGGACTTAAGATACAAAGGCTATCATGATTCTGAGTGACACTTCTGTAGTATAGTTTGCTACACAGTGAAAACTCATTCTTCACAGGACATAGTTGTCAGAGGCTCTTGTCTTCTTGCTTCCAGAATATAGCTTCATTTTTTGGACACATTGAAGAATCGAGGTCTAATGTAATCCTTATACATAGAATAGAGAACACCTAGAAATAGATAGGTATGCATTAATAGAGTTTCCGTGGGAAGCAAAGACTGAATTTTTCCCACTTGTATGTTTCTGAAATTAGCCCACAATTTAAAAATAAAAAAAACAAGCAAAAGGACTGGAGGTGCAGCTCAAGCAGTAGAGTGCCTGCTTTGCAAGTGTGAAGCCCTGAGTTCAAACCCCAGTCCCACCAAAAAACAAACGAAAGCCCTCTCCTACTAATTTCTGGCTTGGATCATACAAGTAGGCACAGAAACAACCTTTAAGAAGCATTGAAGATCAATAGTAATCTGAATTTATGCTGTTACCACACCACCTAACATGAATTTTTATTTATTTATTTTTTCTTTTATTATTCATATGTGCATACAAGGCTTGGTTCATTTCTCCCCCCTGCCCCTACCCCCTCCCTTACCTCCCACTCCACCCCCTCCCTCTCCCCCCCACAATACCCAGCAGAAACTATTTTGCCCTTATTTCTAATTTTGTTGTAGAGAGAGTATAAGCAATAATAGGAAGGAACAAGGGTTTTTGCTGGTTGAGATAAGGATAGCTATACAGGGTATTGACTCACATTGATTTCCTGTGCGTGGGTGTTACCTTCTAGGTTAATTCTTTTTGATCTAACCTTTTCTCTAGTACCTGTTCCCCTTATTCCTATTGGCCTCAGTTGCATTTAAGGTATCTGCTTTAGTTTTTCTGCGTTAAGGGCAACAAATGCTAGCTAGTTTTTTAGGTGTCTTACCTATCCTCACCCCTCCCTTGTGTGCTCTCGCTTTTATCATGTGCTCATAGTCTAATCCCATTGTTGTGTTTGCCCTTGATCTAATGTCCACATATGAGGGAGAACATACGATTTTTGGTCTTTTGGGCCAGGCTAACCTCACTCAGAATGATGTTCTCCAATTCCATCCATTTACCAGCGAATGATAACATTTCGTTCTTCTTCATGGCTGCATAAAATTCCATTGTGTATAGACACCACATTTTCTTAATCCATTTGTCAGTGGTAGGGCATTTTGGCTGTTTCCATAACTTGGCTATTGTGAATAGTGCCGCAATAAACATGGGTGTGCAGGTGCCTCTGGAGTAACCTGTGTCACAGTCTTTTGGGTATATCCCCAAGAGTGGTATTGCTGGATCAAATAACATGAATTTTTAAATACTGGAAAAATGTAAGGAAAGTGGGCAATTTTGACTAGATATTAAGATAAAATATTAGGCATCTCTCTCAATTTAGCAAATATTTATTTAAGGTCTACTTGTGCTCAGAGTCTTAAGAAAAACACGTGACTATGTGGAATCTGTAATCTAGTGGGTGAACTAGCTGTGAGTTAGACAGATGGTATGTGTAGCTTCTACAAGGTCCTAGGGCCACACCAAGAGAGGGAACAGACAAGTAAAGCAGGCTGAGGAAGAGGGAGATTTTTCCATGATTTCCTGGGATGTCATCAAATCTTCACACCCAAAAGCAAGTTGGAGCCAAAGATTTAAGCTAGAATTCATGCCCTCTTTCCCATCCCCACTCCATCTCAGTTACCAAGCACCTGGTTGTCTAACACAAACTTTAACTTTCCCTCTGCTTTCTTTCTGAGATTGTTCTTGACTGTCTTCTTAGAATGCACAGAAGATAAGCACAGAGGATAATAGGCCAAGCAAGTTGTTTTTGTGTCTCCACATGACAGCAAATTGAGGCAGAAGTCTGCCTAATATTTTAGTGAAATATTACTGCAACCAGAGTTGGTGCATAAAATTCAAACCAAGGGCTGGTGGAGTGGTTCAAGTGGTAGAGCGCCTGCCTAGCAAGCATGAGGCCCTGAGTTCAAACCCCAGTACTGCAAAAAAAATTCAAACCAAAAAGTTTTATGTTTTTTTAAAACCTGAGTCATTGTGCTATCTATGGGAAGAAAATTCTCAGATTCAGAGGGAATTCTGGAATCATTTCCCTGTCCTTTGGCTAGTTAGACAGAGATAATTTTTTGTTTTCTTTTTCTTTTTTCTTCCTATTCATTTTTGACAGAGATAATTATTGCCTCTTGCCTACCTCCTAAGTGTTGGTGTTCACATAGTTGTGGTCTCATTCACTCCAGTTGCTTCACTGATAAGCAAGTTAGATCTCTAAGTTAGATTTCCATGTCTGAAGCCCACATTTTTATCATAGTACATATGACATTTCTGCATCTCAGAGGAAGGTAATCTCAAAGCTTTTAAACTGTACATAAGTAGCCAGATCTGGTGGCCCTGTATTCCCAGCTACTCAGGAGGCAGAGGCAGGAGGATAGTGAGTTCAAGACTAGTGCAGACAAAAGGTAGGGAGGCCATATTTCAAAAACAAAACACAAAACAAAAGGGCAGGGTTTGTGGCTCAAGTGGCAGAACGCTTGCCTGCCATGCTCCTGGAGCAGTCTCCGGTACTGCAAAAAAAAGAAAATTGTTTATAAATTAATATGCTGAGCATACCCTCAAAATGTGTTTATTTTTAAACAATGTAAGTATACTGTAGCCAATCTATTTATTAGTAAAACTTTCTTATTTATTTATTTGCTTATTTATTTTGTAGTCCTGGGCTTTGAACTTGTCCTGGGCCTTGTGTTTTCTAGACCACTTGAGTCATGCCTCCAGTCATTTTTTGCTTTGGTTAATTTTGAGATAGGGTCTCATGTTTATGCCCAGGCCACTCTGAACCACGATCCTCCTAGTTACACTTCCTGGGTAAGTGGGATGACAGGTGGTCACCACCACACTCAGCTTTTTATTGGTTGAGATGGGGTTTTGCAAACTTTTTACCCTGGCTGGCTTCAAACTGTGATTCTCACCATCTCTGCCTCCCAGGTATCTAGGATTACAGGTGTAAGCCGCCATGCCTGGCTTTTTATTTACTTTTGAGATTGGGTCTGGATACCTGTCCCAGGCTGGCCTCAAACTCTTGGGCTCAACTGAGCCTACCACCTCAGCCAGCACTACAGGTGAAAGCTACTACATCTGGCTAGCTTTTTCATTTTCAAGATACAATATATTCTTCCCACACATGGATTTCTACATAGGGTGTGTGTTCTCTAATTTGGAGAAATCTTCCATAGTGATCTTAATCAGGATAATATAATATTAAGAGTGTGGGTCTGGAAGAGATGGCCCATGTGATCACAGACAAAAAAGCTTTTCCTCTCTAAGCCTCACTTTTCTAATCCATAAAATGGGATAACAGCATGTATCTCAGAGGTTGGGTTTGGTGTATTGTAAAGATTTTGTGTGGCCTTGCTCTGGGAACCTGGTATGGAGCTTCTAAAATGCTTGGCATTTTCAGAGTAATAATGTCTGATATTCAGAAGCTTTGTGATCATGCCAGAGCTCATGCTGATAAGAATGCGTGCGGCTGGCACCTGAGGCAAGGGCAGTGCTGTGGGCACCATGCTCTTACCTCTGAGGACCTGATTCTTGCAGCTGCAGGTGCTTAGTGTCAGAATTGCATTATAGTCCAGTACACCGGGTGGCATCTCACTAGCTACTTACTAAGATTAAAGAGTTCAAGAGTACTTGTTGAATGTTAGCTATTGTGTTTTGTCTACAAAGTACGCATCCTCCTAACAAACCTGCCCTTTGCTCTTCATTCTCTGTATTAGTGAAACCTTCCATCTGGACCAACCAGATACCTAGGGCTCATCTTTGATTCCTTTTCCTTACTTTTCTCAGACACTTGGCAGCCAAATCCTCAGCATTTCTGGATCCCATCACTTCCCTATTTCAATGCTGGTTCTTTAGTCAGATCCAATTCAGAGTCTAATTGGTTTCTCCATCTTTATGTTTTCTTCTCCTTTGAAAAAACATCACTAGGCATTATCTTTTTCCTTTTAATGTGGTTTTTTCTGTTGTTGTTTTTTGTTTGATTTAAGACGGGTTTCCCTGTGTAGTCGAGGCTGTCTGGAATGCAAAATCCTCCTGCCTCTGCCTCTTGAGTGCTGGGATTACAGGTGTGGAATACCACACCCAATCTTTTTAACATTTCTCATGGTGACATACATACTTACACATAAAACTTGAATGCCCATTGTAGATTGTACACCTAAAGTTATTATGGGTCAAGAGATACAATATTGCAGGTCTTTTAGGAGACTTTGGTGATCATAGCCCCATTTCTTTCTCACAAGGTAACAACTGTTCTGAGTTTTAGGATAATCATTTTATTCCTGTCTTTCTGGGTGACTGTTTATTCCTAACAGTTTTATATTTCCTGGTTCTAATCTTTCTGTAAACTAGGTATCTTTCTACCCTTCCAGCTGACAATGTTAAACCTTTCACCTGCTCACCTTATGTTGTTACCCTTTGGCGCTCAGCCTTTACAACTCCATTAGACGTTTGTTTTGGAACAGCTTTACCTAAGCTGTAACTGTGCCTCCCAGAATTCCCTTCCCTGAATAGTTCTGGATTAGTTTGGCCCATGAAAGACATTTTTCACAAGATTTGGAAGGTGAAAGTTGAAGCAGCCCTTGAAGGTTGGAGGGCTGGTGTGGGGCAGCAGGCGCTGTTACAACTTGTACTAGCTCTTGTTTGTTGGCTGGCTCTACTGGCTGTTGCTGGGCAGCAGCCAGCCTACAGATCCTTCAGCTCCTCTTAGATCTTCTTTCACTTCTCTGGCTTCTGGGCCAGCTGGGTTTAGCTCATGCTATAGGGCCTCATTCTCCTTGTCTCCCAGAATGGGAGGCAGTGAGACTGATTCAAAGTCCCAACTGTCTTTTGAGTTCCAGCTCATCATGGCAGATTCCAGTTTATCATTCCTTCCCCTCTGTTGCCTTGCCAACTTCAGACCCCAGCGTTAGAAACACAAGCAACAGCTTCACATGGACAGTTTATCCAGGTCCCAATATGCTTAAGGTTCTGTCTCTACAATAAACCCCTGTTTATACTTCACTACTGGGATTTTTTTCTTCTCTGACTGAACCGTGACTGATCCTGAATGTGGTTTACCAGAGGAACAGAGCCATAAGGGGAGATTCTCTGATT